TCAGCAGTGTTGTGTCCCCGGTGAACAATAGGGACATGAGGCACACACACCACTGGCCTAAAGTGCTTCCTAGAAAACTATGTAAGAGGTCAAAACTAAATCTTCATTTCTCCATATTTTTCATCCATTGTTTTAAATAATTACCTAGAGCCAGTGCTTTATTACAAGAACAAAATGTAGGCAATGCAAACTGGAAAGAGGAGATGGTCAGTGCTGCTCCTCTAGAATTCTCTCCAAAAAATTAGTGTCAGAACTACTTGTTTGGTGAAATTGCTTCATCCCTGACCTGGGGAACTGATCACAGCAGTCTAAAATGAGCCCCCTAAAGCATCAGAACTTTGTCTGAAACGTGGTGAAATGAATCCCGAGGCTGGAGCACTGCAATCCATGGCTATAAAATGTTCAGAAGGGGCTGGCAAGGAAGGAGGGGTGAGGGGTTTGCTCTCTGTGTAAAAAATTTGATTGACTGCACAGAGCTGCCTTTGAAAAACAGTGATGAACGAGTTGAGAGCTCATGGGTGAGAACTGGAAGGCAAGCCAAAAAAGGAAACCTTGTAGTGGGTGTTTACTACAGGCTGCTGATCAAGGGGAGTCTGTTGACAAAACGTTCATACTTGCAGGCTCTGATCCTGCTGGGAGACTTCAATCACCCTGACATATGCTGGAAAAGGAGCACAGCAACCTGTAAGAAATCCATGAGTGTTTTGGAGAGCAACAAGGATAATTTCTTAATCCAGGTGATAGACAGTCCAACCAGAGAGGAAGCATTACTGGTCCTGTTGTTTACCAGCATAGATGAACTAGATGTGTTTTTTTATTGTTTTATTTATTTATGTATTTTTATTTATCTTTTTAAATGTTAGAAATGTCAATATTAGCAGCACCCCGGGCTGCAGTGATCATGTCCTGATGGGTTTCACAAGCCTGAGGTATATGGGTCAGGTGAAGAGTAGGATCAGGACACAATTTTGGAAGAGCAAACTTTCTGTCGTTTAAGGAACTAGTGGATGGGACCCCCTGGACAACTGTCCTCAGGGATAAAGGAGCTATCCAGAGCTGGCTGCTCTTTAATGACATATTTTTTAAAGCACAAGAGCTCTCAATTCTTTTGGAGCAGCTGTCAGAACTGTACAGATTAAAAGCCCAGGGAGTCTGGTGTGACAGTAGTTTCAGATTAAATCACTACATTGTTTCAATACTATTATTGAACTGGGAATGTTGAATACTCCTTTGGCTGTCTTTGCTGCAAAGCATGAAACTAAAAATATGTTTTTTCTTTTGTAAAGTTGAAGAAAAAGACCCTTAGTAAGTATATGTATATATATAAAGTTGTTGGTGATTGCAGTCCATTGGTGTTTGGATAAGGCCATGTATTGTGTTTTAAGTGATGTTTGAACATTATACTGATACTTGAAGCTGCCACATGCACCAATGTACATCTTAATACCTGTGACTAAATCATAAAGGAAAATATAACAGTACAGAAGTCAACAATAAGTTACAAGATTGCTTTTATTAAGGTATGAAAATTCTTCTGAACAGGTTCAGTCACAACAGCAGTTTCTGCTGAGCATCCAAAGCATGGGGGACAAACTATTGGTTTGCATTTTCTCTAAAGGTTAGTGCTCAGCCCTTGTAAATGGCATAGCTCCACCAAAATCAATAGGCAGATCTCTAGTCCTGTCACCTCCAAGGAGTCCAGGATTGCAAATACTAAAAACTAGAAAAATATTTGTAACAAAATAGCTTATTCTTTCACTGTGTGCAGAAGGCAAACACATTACATATTTGAGAGAAAACTGAGCAAAAGTTGAGAGACTCCTACATAACAAAAGCTAAGGGTTATTTTGAGAAGTTGTGGACTCCCCATCTCTGGAGGTTTTCAAGGCCAGGCTGGACAGGGCTCTGAGCAACCTGGTCTAGTGGAAGGTGTCCCTGCCCAAGGCAGGGACTTGGAGCTAGATGGTCTCTAAGGCTTTAAGGTCCCTTCCAACCCAAACCATTCTATGATTCTACGTTCATCAGACTCTAAGACTGCAAAGATAATTTAGTTTCACCAATGACAACTAAATTATATATATATAAAGATCTGGTATGGTAGCAAGGACAAGTCAAGTCAAAGTGTTTTAATCCTTACACAGTCACCTGAATCTGAAGCCCAATGTAAATTACTAACTCTGAAATGTGAAATGTATTTATATATTTAAAAGGTGTATATAGAACCTCTAAGATCCATTAGTATCACCTTTTGCAAAATGTGGAAGTCTTTTACCCCGTTAATCTTATTAACTAACAGAAATTGGACTAGGGGGATAGAAAAGCAACTTTCCTATTCTGTTCTGTACCAAAAAACCAGCACCTAAGTGCTATGGCTACTAAAAGTGTTCATGCCTTCGGGTTAAGGACCAATTTCCACCAAGAATTATTTATAATGTTGTCCATTGGTATTGAGGAGGAAATAGTTCGTTCACTATAAATTGATGTGACCCAGACACAGCAGACTGTCACTGTGTGGGATGAGCACACAACAGAATAAAGGGGAGGTGGGACAAGTTACACCACCATTTCACTCTCCATCTTCCAACACACTCCCTGAAGTGGAGTTTTGGGGCAGCAGAGAAGAGCACTCCAGGAAAGAATCCTGCAGGAGATGCTTACTGTGTGGAAATGGCTTTTGTTCCAGTTTATCCAGGTGAACAAACTCTTGTTGTGCCCAATGGAGTGTGTAAACTGAGCCTTTGCTGCAGCAATAATGGTCTTGCAGCCAGGCAAAACTCAGTTCAAATATATAAACTATTCAGTTGCAATTGGAATGCTCTCACTCATGGCTTGACTGCACAATCATTATGGTCTAATTAACAGAATATACAGGTACCAATTGACTTATCTGGGCTGCCAGCAGGAAAAATCATTTCTTTTTTCTCTTCTCTTTTTCCACTGAGTCCTTGTCGATTACAGAATTTTCCATCAAATCCCAAAATCAGAGTGCTGAAGAACACTCTGAGCAGGTTAAGCCCCGGATTCATCGTGTCTTTCCCTTACTTGGTGGTAAATCCAATGCTTGTTCTCCAGGTTCTCAGTATACTTAAGGGGTTGCACAATTAGGTCTCCAACGTTGTTGCAGCTCCAAGTTTCCACCTCACCTTAAGTAAACAGTGAATTACAAAGCGAAAAAGAGATTTCTCTGCAGGTTTGATGATTCACTTCCTGGAATATTTATAAAAAACATGCAGCTTGTCAAGAGTAAGGGCACAAGTGATGCTGAGATGGGCACATCGTGATGTGGCACAGTGGGAGAGCCAAATCTTGGAATTTTAATAATGAGGTCTTTGGTTTTTCCCTTCTGTTTTATCCACGGAAAAAACTGCCAGAATTCACTCAAAGCTGGACCTGTAGTCATTAATAGTTCTTAGGACACCAGGGAAGAGCCAGATTGCTAAGAAAAAAAGGGAGGGGGAAAAACAGAGGGTTTAGAAGCCCTTTACGTAGGATAATAATTTGGAAGGGTCAGTGTTGCAACCCATCCAGTCCACTACTGAGAAGAGCAATGAAAGCCAAATGTTGAGTGAAGACAAGCTTCAGTTCTCCACATGATGAGATATGATCCCACTAGGAAAAAAAATTAAAACAAATTAATCATGATTGAGAAATCAAAGAAAGTAACTTTCAAAGAAAGTTAATATATAGGAAAGAAGAGCTGAGTAGTTCCACCTTCTAAAAGGAGCCGTTAGCTGAGACTCCAACGTGGTGTGTAAGCATTATGAGCCTGACAATATCCTTTATGCTGCACTCTGTTTGCACAACTCCAGAATTCCCATTACTATCAGGTGTTGTAAACACCTACGACCACTCAGGAGAGCAGGGTGATGAACACAAGGCAAGCCACTCTTCTCTCTGTGGAGAGACTCAGAGGCTTCATATTCTGGTTTTATTTTAATGAACCTCAATATGCCCTTTATGGCTCCATGGTGGGACTTGTGTCACTGATGGAACTGTACAGCTGCTGGAGTTAGTCCAAGGAGTCCTGGGTATCATCCCTTTGGAATCCCAACAGGTAGCCCTGCCCAGCCTTTGGGAAGCCATCAGAGCATCACCCTCACCTGCAGCCATCTCCTGGGAGCTGCCCACAGGTGGGTGTCACAGAGAGTGTGATCAATGTGACTGTAACACTGGGAGACAATGAGCTACTGGTGACTACTATTCAAGATTCCCAAGCTGATAGCTGGGGTACAGTGTTCCCTGCCCTTTCTCTGTGATTTATATCAAGCATTATTGGGCTCGGGTGAATCGAACTAAATTATCTGCAAATACCATCATGATGAGTCCAGTAAAATCAGTGTAGTCACGGCAGCTGCACTGTCATGCAGGAGCCCTCCCCCCAGGAAAGGGTTGCTGACTAACTCTGGTAACAATGTCAAACAAGCCTGTTTCCAGGAACAGAATCTGATCCACGGTAAACATCCTTGAGTTGTGAAGTAGTAATAATCATGGGCTGCCAGCAGCAAAAATTGTTTCTTTTTTCTCTTCTCTTTTTCCACTGAGTGAGGTGTTCTTTTTCAGTCTGCCAGCTTTCTCACCTCTCTCTCCTCCTCTTAAAGAGGCAAGCAAGCCAAATGGTGGTGAGCTGCTAGAACACACTAATTTTTACAGAGAAAGTGCTGAACCCTATGGTATTCTGGGAAAGTGTTAAATTCCCAAGGTGCAGAGACAGAATGTGTGACAGTGGTTAAGTCTCCTCAGAGCTATCTTTTCAGACTCTGTGCAGGCACTTGTGTGCAGTATTCATGCATCATCAACATTTCCAGCTCTTTATGTTTAACATCCCACTATTTTCCTGAAAAATATTTCTTAAAAACAAACAAACAAACAAAAAAAAACCACCAAAAATCCCCAAGCTATTGCAGAAAGGGAAAACTTCTGAAGCAAGTTTATAAAGGGAATGCTAAAGTTTGTCTCCTTTATTTGCCAATCCATGGTCCAAAACCAAAAGTGATGTGCTTCTTTTAGGGAAATGGTCATTGGTGTTCTTTTCAAGTGGTGTGTCATTTACTCTGCCTGAGATGGAAGCCATGAAGGAAGATGAAGAACACAATGCTGTCTTCCTCCTCTGTAGTCCTGTAGCATTTGAAAACAGGCAAGAACAGTTTCTTTCTTCCTTCTGTGGCCTTCACCTACAGCCAAAAGGAGAGCAGGTTCAAATACTCTCAAATAGAGGATGGTCACCTACGAGTATTTCACCATTCCAGGAAGGAGATAAATAGCTAAAAAAAAGTAACTGGTCATAATTCAGTACTTACACAAGGTAACCTGAGGATCTCTAATCGTAGAACACTTGGTAGCTGAAGTTGTCAGACTTGATTCTGAAGTTGTATCTTCCCATCTTTCGCTGGTACTGGAAAATGAGAAAGCTCACAACTCCCAGCACAGACCCAACCACAGTAAGGGCAATGAGGATGATATATCCAACTCCCATTCCAGCCTCCTTTTCCCTCTTCAAATCAGATGCTAAAAGAAAAAAAAAAGAAAAACCAAGAGGTGCAAGAAAAAAAGTTTTGAAATCCTTGAGTATTTTACTGGGGTAAAAAACAAGCCTTTCCTACAAATTAGTCAGCAGAATCTGCCAGCACAGAACTGTGATGCAGTAGTGTATCAGCCTCTTGGGGAGGGTGATTCTCATGGAAAGGTCATGAGGACAGTCCATGTTCTCCCTTTTGCATACAAGTGTAGAGTCCCTGCAGACATAAGTGTGATTTTCAGTAAAATAAGAATTAAAGAATCAACACTGGAGACTTTTCGAAAGAAGAACCTTAAAGGTGAAGCATTCTCCCATCTCCATCCTGCCTCTGTTCATCTGCGATTCTTAAAACCCACTTGACTTGCTTTTATCACATATGTAACTCTTCTTTAATCACAAAGTATCTAGGAAAGGATTCTCCATGTGTACTGTGTCAAGGCTTGTGTTGCCAACTGTCTCCCGAGGCACCACCAACCATCAACAGAATGTGTTCTCCTGGTTTACATTTAGACACTTCCACATATTTGTCCAAATCTGCCAAAAGATACCCCTCTCCCTTTAACATTGTGCCTCTCTTCGTGTTTGTACATGTACTTATACTTCATTCTTGTAAAGGCTTGATGCACCTACAAAAATATCTATTTGTGTGCTTACATTTTCAGGACAGCACTTATTTAGCCAAGCACTTATGTGGCACCTGAGGTACACAGAAGGCAAATACTACTGCATTCATTCCTGCAATTACAGGTAAGATTTTTGGCCAAAGGGCACTGTTGGCAGCCACAGAGGTGTGTAATAGCTGTGTCCAAGCTACATAACATCCAGGGCATCATTCCTACAGGTCAAAGCAGTGCTGTATAACATATTCAGTCTTATTTCTGAATTTCAGTATGAAATACAGGAATAAAGAAGAACATGCACAGTGGAAGTAGCAGCCTGTATCCAGATACAGACAGAACAGGCCTTCCTAAGGACATGTAGCAGTGGCCTCTGCTATGGAATGTGGCCAAGTGTAGGCAGAGCAGTGAGAGCTTTTTTTGTGTCTCTTTTGTTATTACCTGACATCATAATTCATGTTTTCTCCTTCAACACAGAGATGCAGATCACTGTCTGGGTCTATCCTCACACTTAAAATGAGTTGTGAGGGTCCAAACTGGAAATAGGAGACAACCTTTAGCAGTGCCACCTTTGCCTAGGAATCAGTGCAGTACAACCCAAATAAAACTCCCCTCACCAGAGGTCATTTGGGGAAATGGCCATTTTTCAGTATTGGAAAAGCACTGGAGTCTCCTGTGAAAAGGATTGTGAGAGCTGCTTGTCGTAAGAGCTGAAGAACAAAACAAGCTGCATTAATAGCTAAGTTTTTTTGAAAAAGAACTAGTTCAGAAATGAACACTGAAGGCCTATTTGAACAGACCAATATTTGCATGTAATGGAAGAAAAATACAATATGCTAAGTCAGAGTCCATTTCTAGGTCCAAAAGAACTTTGTGAACAGTAGCCACATGTTAAAACTCTGATACTGGCGAGCCCAAATACTCTCAGAGGGTGTTTTAGATTAATAAGTTATGAATGCAAGTGGCTGGAGGAGGCCTGATGACAGAAAACATCACAGATCACAGGTGCCCTTGAAAACACCACTCAGAATGCAGAAGGGGCAGGTGCATAACAAGTCAGACCTTGCTTGAACATAATGCTGGTGTTTGCTCTCTATTAACCCGTACTGCACCTCTCCTCCAACGTGCTGTGCATCAGCTGTGCTCTCTGCCACTTCCCCTCGTGGCAGTAAAGGAGCCAATGCCAGGGAGTCAAAGGAAACACAACAACAAAATCTCTTGCATCCTCAGATATTGGACTTCAGAGCTCAATACAATTGCAGACCAACAGCAGGGTAAACACTTGGAAAACCGATTGCAATCTGAAAGATTGAAGCTGCTTTCACACTTCACAATTGAAATTGCTGTTTGATTTTGTGGTTGCTGCACTTGCTGCCCTGTGCAAACAGCCACACAAAGCACTTTATCTTCCTTTCTACATTCCCTTGACAACCTGACAGTCACTTCACCCAGGAGGGCACAGGGTTCTCCACACTGCCACGTGGCTTCAGCAAGAACCCTTGATCCTCAGGAATATTTGCAGAGGGGCATGAAAACCTTGCATCACAGGTCTTCAGCTTCCTTTGCCAGTAAAAGATGATCTTGAAATGACTGTTATGTGGTGTCCCTTTTTTGCAAGCATCTGTTCAGAACTCACCAGCTGCTTTACACAGGGGTCCCCAGGATGTTCTGTGTGTAGCAATGACTTCTCCAGCCTTCAGGAACCAAACCATGGGGTGGCATCTCTGCAACAATCAATTCAAACTCCAGCAAGTAATGTGGTTTACTTAATCAAAAATACAAAGCCTTCTGATGAGCATGTGAAAGCCCAGTGCTATTCTCACTCATTGGGGTTTTTGTTTCCTAATGTTGTGCTTTGTTCAACTGAAATTAGCACCAAAAGGAAGTTCAAAGGAAATGGCATCAGTATGAAATCTGTAATTGGTCACGCTGGAAAACACTGCTGTGAACAGACATTTCACACAGACAATCCCTTTCTTTTTGTTAACTTTCTGTTTGTTTTAAAGAAGCCTTATGGGAGAATAAACTTATCACTATTTCTACATGCCAGGGTTTTGCAAACATTTTTGTTGGGGTGTTTCTACTGCCCATGGCGGGCACGGCAGATGCTAAAACCAGCACCACCAAAAGCAGCAGCAGCTTTCAGTCCCTGCCAAGCCACGTGTCATTTTGGAGCTAAACACAACTTCAGTGACATGTGAATTAATAATCTGGGAACTACTAGTTTGAAAGCCCTGCCCTGTGAAATGCTGGGGATCAGCTGCTTCAGCTCTGTGTGAGCAGCACTTTCAGAACACGCAGCACACTCATCCTCTGCACACTGCCTCAACAGCACTATTCACTTTGTATGCCCTAAGGGTCTCTGATGGGAACTGTAGCCCACTGGAATTATTAAAAAAATATTGTGGCTCTCCTGGAAGTGCACATAAAACAGAGATACTGCAGCATCATACTTACAATCAGCAAAAGAAAGCAGGGAATTGCAAGGGTGTCCTACCAGTTTATATACACAAGAATATGTTACCACTGGTTACACCAAAAATTCTCTACAATCCAATGCCAGAAACAGTGTCTTTAGCTGGGTCAGTCCCCAGAAAAATACCCATGTGTCTATGACTTTGGCCTACCCTCAAATAGCTTTCCCAGCTGTGTGGATCCATTAGAGAATATGCTCATGTAGCTGCTCCCTGATGGCAATGATTTTCTGGTTCCACATGGCCATGGAGCAGCCACGTTCCACCAGACACCACTCCTCATTCAAAGTCATGTTTCTTACTCATTTCTTGCTACATTGCTCCCCAGCCTATTTCTTTTTACTCCAAACTCTAGAGCACCTTACTCTCTTCCACTGAGAAAACAAGGGGGAAAAAAAGACACAGTAAGAAGAGATAATACAACATGCAACTCTCAATTTTGTGGGTAAAGAGCTGAAGCAAACCTGACCTCAAGCAGGTCAATACTGCCTGAAGTAACAGACCAGAGGATCAGATCCCAGACCCTGGGCCCTTTCCCAGTCATCTTACACTATTTCCAAATATACCCTCTTGCTCCAGTTTTCCTTCATCTTTGCACCTTCTGCAGCTCCCACCACCTTCTGTGTAAAAGAAAAAGGTCATCCTTATGTAGAGGTGCCTAATGCTTGTCTTCTCCACATTACAGTTTGGTCTCAATCTAAGATAATGAATTCATTGACTTTTCATGGGGGTAAATTTTGCACAGGAAAAAGAAAAATGTACATATACATATAGATATATGTGTATAGATAGAGATATAGATATATTCCTCCTCAGCTGTGCAGGGCACAGTGAATTCAGGGAGGGCAGCACCTCCTGCAAAGAAAGGCATAGACTGGCAGTTGCTGAACCACTGATTTTTAACATGTATATTCATATTGAACTGCAAAAATGGGAGCCATCTTACCACTGTCAGTCTTGTTTTCTGTCCCTACTTTATTTCTTTATTATTTATTCATTTATTTACTAAATCTGGAGGAAGCTTTACACTTAGAGAAAGGAAACAGGTATCTTCTGGTAGCCACTTTTAATCTTTCAGGAAGAGATTGTTTGCTTTATAATGGGCTGAAACTGTGTTATTTAGAGCTAGAGGAAAGTGGTAAACAATGGAGGAACACCAAACTGCTAATGAAAACATCCTTGATAGAAAAAGAGCCAGGAAGGTTGGCAGAAGAAGAGAATTCCCAACTGTCTGCTATTAAAAAAAAAATCAGCAGAACATATTTTTTCTTATTTCTATAGTAGCAACACGTTTTTAGATAAAGTTATGTATCACTTACTTGGAAGTAAAAAGAAACAAAGCAATTTTTTGTAGCACAGACAATTAGAGACTGCAGTTTTAATAAGAAGTGCTTTGTTTATTGCTTTAAAAAGCAATCAGGCTTTAAAAAGCCCTAATAAACTCCATTAGAGTCACAGACCTAGAAACTTAATGCCACTGAGCTTCCTGTCCTGGCACCTAAAGTATCAGCTGAAGCACCAAATCTCTAGAGGAAAAGAAAAAAAAAAAAAAAGACAGAAAAACATCCTGAACCAATTTACTCTGATTTTTCCTGCTGACACTGCAAGTATGGGTGCTCACTTTTTTGTGTCATGTCCATCTGAGCTGATACTTTTCTGAACAGTCTAATTTCCAGCCACCCCTAAGCAGAGGAGGAAGGTCCAATTCTCAGGTTCCCCAGTTCTGTGCAAGCTCCATGATTTTAACTATGAGCATGAGGAACAGGAAGAAAGGCAGGCACTTCCACATGGTTGTAGTCCTTACCCACTCCTCTCTGCTCCCGGCAGAGAATGAAGGAGATTTCAAGAGCTATTTAAAGCCAGTTTGGAAACATTACTCCTTCCATTCCACTGAAGGACAGCATAAGGCACTGAGAAAAATACACATTTTTGGGAAGAAAAATAGCAAAACACTTACTGTCCTGCAGGTTCTACCCGGTGTCTCCATACAGATACGAATTCTGCAGTGTAAGTAAACCACAGAATTGTTGACAAAGGAAAAAATTTTCACCTTAAACTGGGCTTTACTTGAGTTCCCATTCTCTAGCAGTGTGGTGTATGTGTCTGGGATGGGACAGCTGAAAAGGAGGAGGAAAACCAGACAGATAGGGCTAGAGAAGGCAAGCTGTGGCTATAGCACATAAATTGGGTTCTAAGGCCTTTCCTTCCTTTAGGAAGTCACAGTCAGACCCTTCATGAAGCAACTCTGGCAGCACAGTGATGATAAGGGGATGTTTGCTGCTTATTGTCACAGTAACCAAACAGAAGAAGAGATTTGAGAAGTGGTCAGAGGGTTGGAAAATAAGGGAGAGAGTAGCAGAAAGAAGGATTTAAACTTGGCTTCACCAAACAGAGGTTGAAAAACCATCACATTAAAAGGAATAGGTTTTGTTACTGAGCAAAAGGATTATTCTGTATTTTAAGGTGGCAGGTGAGCCCAAGGAGTATAACATTGGGGTGACATTAGTGATCCAGACAGGAACAAAGCTCCTCTTTTATCAGAAGCTGCATTAATATCATGTGTGAGGGATTAGCTAACCTATTTATTCATTGATGAGAGGCATATAAGCTCTTGGTAAAGCTGAAACCACAAGAGAAACCTCTGAACCACAGAGAAATAGATAAAGCACACATTTTTTCCAATGCTCTTTCACTGCTGACTGCCAAAATCACCTTCAGGTCAAAAGTACAATGCCTTGACAAAACTGTAGGGAAGACAAGGAAGCTCAGACAATTATGACTTGGCCCTTTGAAAACCCTTTTCACACCTACTATTGTTGTTCAAAGGTGTGACCAGTCCAAATGGAAAGGGAACATGTACATGAATGACAAGAACACACATAAAAGGCATTTAAAATGTAACACATTAGCAGTCAGTGCCACTGGAAGATCTAAGGCATGGCAGATGCTATTTGTAAGTGGTATTGCTGTACCTGTTGCTGATAAAAACAAATGAGAGGGGATCCACTGAATTATTAGTTGGAGTTGCCCAGCAGTCAGTGAGAACCACCTTGAGCTTGCTGTCCCCTCTCTGGATCCCCACTTCGATCAGCACATCATCACTGGCAGAGACACTGAAGTTCTTTGGTATTGGAGAGTTCCCAATAAACAGCTGCATTTGTGTTCTGAAGTGCCCAGATCCATGCAAGTCCTCAAAGATGGTGTAAAGTCTGAAAAATCAATTAGTCTCCTTTAAAGACCACAAATTTTACTGTATGCTTCTGTAAGTCATAAGTCAGTGGCTGTTTCTCCACCTCTTCAGCATATAAATAGTGAAGAGTTATCTGCAGTCCAGGGTGTCAGGACACTGTTCAAAAGGAAAGGAGGAAAATGCATCCAGTTGGGAAGGCAGAGAGCATGGAAACACGAGTGGGAAAATCCAAAGGGTGGAATGTCTCTGCAATACAAGCAGGGCAGAGAGAGAGATTTGAGTGGAGTAGAAGGGGAACAAGACCACGAGGTCTCTGAAAGTTCAAAATAAGGACAATAAAAGCTTAGTGCAGAAGAGAAGAGCCAAAAGAAATTATAAAGGACAAATCTGAACTCAGTAATGAAAATCTGAATCCCAGAAAGTGAGGGGCATGAGAAAATTACAGAGCTCAGAGAGAAGGGGCCTGACAAAGACTTTGCAGGGGAACAGAAAGGAAAATGTGATGTCTGGACAGGGTTAGGAAGCAGAATGTGGATTTGGTGTCAGTAGGTTAAGCATAGTCCTAGAGGAGGTGCATTTGTATGAAGGGAGGACGTTCCCCATCAGACCAAAGATTGTGCTGCCACATTTTCTGTGAGCATGAGCTTGATTTTCTGTGAAGTGTGGATTTGATTGCATCTAACTTGAAGATGGGGCCTTCCATAAAAACCCCTGTGATTTGCATTATGTGTCTTCTCTTTTTCCAAGTTGACCAAATTAGGATTTATGGGGGTTAACAATTGCCATTCTCAGAACCCACAGAGGAGTCTGCAGGCCCACATCAGGTAAAAAGATACATTATTGATATGTTCCAAAAGCAGGGAAATGCTGTTATTGCTACATGGGATTGCCCAGGAAGGCAAAGAGAAGTGAGGAATTCTGAATTCCTGAGCCTGCACCAGTGCCTCCCAAAGGCTTATTTCCCTCTCAAGCTTGTTGGCTGCTGGATCTAATGGCACAATTGGTGGAGTGGGAGAGAAGCACATAGCAGGAATCTCCTGAGCACGGGACTCCCAGGATGGCAGACTATTCAGCATTGCAAGTACTTTCACTGGATACAGCTACAGCCCCTGGGGATCTTCCCCATGCAGCAGCACTCAGCCACACAGCAGCGTTTCAAAGCAGAGAGAGTTGTTACTTACCCTTCTGCAGTGTACCCAGAGGAAGCCACGGCATCATTTTGAAACACACAGTGAATGGGACTGGCAACTTTTAAGTGGTGGATTATTCCCTGAGCAGGAACGTCGTTCCGAAGGATGGTTTTCACTACAGTATTAGTCATGTTCTGCAACGCAGAAGGAAAAAAGCACAGCTTGTGAACATCAGTATTTATAGGGATACAGCAGAGCTATAGGCTTACCAGTGTCAAATGCTCAGGTATTCTCCATTCTTTTGGCTACAAAAATCACATTAAACCTCTAATATCTTTGTTGCTGTACAGTGAGACAATGAAAATCCTCGATTCTCCCTCACTTTCCTTCGTATCATGTCATAGAATCATAAAATCACAGAATTACTTGGGTTGGAAGGGACCTTAAAGATAATCCCAGTCCAACCCCCTGCCATGGTGAGGGACACCTCCACTAGACCAGGTTGCTCAGAACCCAATCCAACTTCACCTTAAGCACTTCCAGGGATGGTACAATGATCCTTCCTTAGCAATGATCATTGCTCCAGAAGGGAATTTCTGTACTTTGGTCTGGTATGAGCATAGCCTTTGGTTTGGGATCCAAGGAGGTAGCCATCACTCTCTGTCCCCACTACTGGTACCAACTGAAGTATTTGTCAAAATGAGACGATGAAATTGCTTCTAAGAAAAGAGGAACTTCTGACAGCTGCAAAGGGAACCCAGAGGGAAGTGACTCAGTTTGGAGAGACTCTTGGAGAGCATTCGAAGGAGGACAAGGACGATGGTGAAGGGCCTTGAGGGGGAGCCGTGTGAGGAGCGGCTGAGGGCACTTGGTGTGTTCAGCTGGAGAAGAGGAGACTGAGGGGAGACCTCACTGCAGTTACAACTTCCTCAGGAGGGGCAGAGGAGGGGCAGGCACTGAGCTCTGCTCTGCGGGGACCAGGGACAGGACCCAAGGGAATGGCCTGGAGGTGTGTCAGGGGAGGTTTAAGTTGGATATCAGGAAAAGGTTCTTTACCCAGGGGGTGGTTGGGCACTGAGCAGGCTCCCCAGGGCAGTGGTCACAGCACCAAGCCTGGCAGAGCTCAAGAAGCATTTGGATGATATTCTCAGGCACATGGTGTGACCCTTGGGGACGGTTCTGTGCAGGGCCAGGGGTTGAACTCCATGATCCTTGTGGTCCCTTCCAACTCAGTACATCCTGTGATTCTGTGAGTTTTGCTGCCTGACCTCAAAGGCTCCCCTTCTCTTTTGTGCTTGGCCCCCATCCCAAACAGAGAGGTAACTTTCCATCACAGGAAGGAGGTTTCTATCTCCAAAGGAGTTTCAGCAACTGGTAGACTGTACACCTAACTAAGGCTCTGCCGTTGCCTCTCCCCTCACCACCCCCAGAGATAAAAGTGCTCCAGAGTTTCTTTGCACTCCCTGGCTCAGAGGACTTACAGTCTCCACCTCGGTGCCGCAGTCGCTCCATCCTGCCTGCAGCACAACGTGGGTGCCATTGCTCCTGCTCACATTGCAGTGAGACTCCCCCAGGTACAGGGAGGCTTCTGGGATGGACTCCTGCTGTAAAAACCTCTTCTGGGTGGCCAGGACGATCTTCTCAGTTTCACAGAACACGCTCACTGCGTCTTTAATGGAAGCCTCCTGGGCAGGTTTGGCAAGGGGGGCTGGAGATGCTTGAGGAGAAACATCAGGAGTTGACACGGGATCCTCGGTGAGAGGAGGCAGCACCGTGCTGGAGAATGTGGTGTCCTCCAGAGCTTTGTGCTCAGCAGCAGAGAAGTCCAGTGAAGCAGGGGAAGAAGTTTGCAAAGATGTCACAGATAAAACTGTGTTGTGCACGGGTTTCTTATCTGTCACTGTTGCCTTCTGGCTGATAGGAAGTGCTGAGGAGTGCCAAAAAAATGAAGGTACGGTTGTAATTTACAGGTTGATTTCATAAGTCAAAAGCAAGATCCAAGGAGGAAACTCACAGTTACTGGCAGGAAACTAGTTTCTTTTGTTTTTTTAACCTGCTCCACTTGCTGCCAAAGCTGTGGCTTTTTTTAAGAGTCCCAGAGACACACACAGTGCCTGTCAGTAAAGCTCAAGTGCTTTATTTCCTGACAGCTGCAATAGTTAGTGTGTAAAACATGTACATACAGCTTTTGGAAGATCAGTGCCTGCGAGAGATCCCCACCTGCAAGTGGCTCAACAAGTGTTCATATGTTTTTGCTTAGTACTGCAGGAGACTCCACAGTTCTGGGTGAGGTTATAAACAGGAGCAGAGCTTGTTAAAAAAAAACTTGGCCCATTTGTGACCAGTTGCTACCCAAAAAAGTATGACCTTGAGCACTTGGAAAACCCATTTTGGGGGAAGTGTGGGACAAACCTCATGTAGCAGACCCACATTGCCCATTTGTGTCCTGAGAGAGAGTGGGGAGCTGAACAGATGTGTTGGTAGCAATCTCTAATGGTTTCAGGAAGAAAGCAAGTGGAGAAAAGGAAGGGAAAAAGAAGCACAGGTTGAGATCAGTGTGCCTGTTGAACACCAAACATCCAGCACAGGCTCTGGGGTTACCCTGTGGTTCTTTGCTGGTAGAAGCATCCTAATTATTCATCCACCACTGACTTAGAGACCATGAAGATAATAAACTCCATTTGCACTGAAACACAGAGGATGTGTCTCATTGCACAAAATTTCTCTTACATACTTTTAGCGACTTGATTATAAAAACAGCATCTATTTCCCAAGCAACATGTAAAATCTGTACACAAAACCAAACACACACAAACACACACAAACACACACAAACACAAACACACATATATATATATCTCCTTCTGAAACTCCCCACCTTTCAGAAATGCCCCAAATGAAAAAGTTACTGATTTGAGCAACAGGGGAAGAAAAAATAAAAGCCTGAGCTCTTTCAGAGCTGGATTTCACAAAAGCTTAATATGACACTATTATCTTAGTTAAAGAAAACTGAACTGGTTGGTATCAGTTGACAAATCGATATGACTTCAGTGAAAGAGTTCCTTATCAACGTGGTTACAAAAGCAAATATAAATTGTTGAAGAAGCCTAAGAGAAGGAGCTTAAAGACCCATCAAACACCAGCTAACAAATGACTTGGGGAAAGAGAGAGGCCAGATGAATCAATTCGTACCAAAAGGAAGTTTGTAATACCAACATTTCCTTCCTCCTGCCATACAGAGGTCAAGCCACCTATCTAGTACTTTCTGTTACCTTCTCTGTTATGTTTTCTGTCCCCTCCTTGCTTGTGCATTCATCATAATCTGTTGGGTGGTACATTTAAGCAGAAGACAACGCTGGAGAGCGTAAAAATGAAAATCTGATAGTTCTGAAACTGGAGAATAGTCAAATCACCAGGGTGTCACGATGAGATCACACCTCTTAGGTGTGATACCCCACTCTGTGTGTCAGGCAGCTGCTGGGTCTAGGGGAGGTGGGACACTGGAAGCACAGCCTAGAGGGAAAATTGCAAGGCACTGACAAACCCGTCCAAAAGCTGGGCTGCCAGTGATGCTCAGCTGATATTTAAATATAGGCACACTGCTCCTGTCCTCCTAAACTGATCAGCAGCCCAAGGGGATGCTCCTAACCCAGAGGCTTCCTCGGTTATTCCCCCATTTCACACTCTTGAGGAGGTTGCTGGGAAATTCCCAGCATGAGTGAAGCAGAAGAGTTGTGTGATTGGTCCAAATCACCATCTGGTTGCTTTCTTAATTTTTACCTGGCCAAAATTTTCACTTTTGAAAGGCAAAATATGCTTTTACTTCCCTTTCTCTTCCCAAGAGAAAAATAAGACCAGGTAAGGACATACCAACTTAGGTGGGACTCAGAAAGCAGCACCTGCTCTATGGGGACCTGTCCCTGCAATAAACCATTTGTTTTAGCACAGGTTCAAGGGGGACAGGTACTCTACAAGGCCCACCATGAGACAGTTGTGATCCTACTAATTAACAGGATTTGTAACTTTCCAGATTTACAGCTGTGAGTGCAACAAGCAAAATGGATGCACAGGGTGGAGCATAAACTTGTTTCTGAAGTAATTTTGCTTTAGATTCTAATTGACAGTTTTAACAATATTCTTGGGACAAATGCATTACGTCAAGGATATTGTATTTGGTATTTTTTTCAGAGCTAACTTGTGAGCAGAATTCAGCAGCTGTTAGTCAAGAGACTAATATTTCTTGTTACTTACTTAAATTATATATAAAGGAAAAGAAATTGTACAATCAACCGTCGTGCTGGTCTTGGCAACGTTTGGGTTTTCACCTGAACTCCAAATCCACAAGTGTGTGAGGAAAACATGTGCTCCCAGTGAAGAAGAATTCACATGTTCATTTATTTCTTTCTTGGGGTTTCTATCACATGCAAAATTATCAGTGCAAAGCAGAGGGCAATGTGTTTTTCAATCCTTTTAACAGCTAGTTATGGCTGTGTACATGGAACCATTTCCACTGGTAGTTTATAGACCCCCAAATTTGTGACCAGTGTATCTAACATCCCCTTACCTTCTTCTCTATAAAATTGTTTCTAGATACAGACAAAAAGACTAGTTGGTTTTGTCCTTTTGGATCAGTGGTACCTCATTTCTTATGTCATCTATTGATGTTATGTGAAAAAACTTCTTGGATGAATAAGCAGGAGCAATATAAGGAGAGAGAAAGGCTTTCCATCCATCTGTTTTACATATACTTTCACTTCAAAAGATACAGATTAATAATCATCTTTCTAGTTCTGAAGAACTCTTGAGATACAAGCTGCTCCTTACCCTTTATGGAGAGGCTGCTCTTATCAATGGTGAAGTAGGAGCTGTGTTCCAAGGCATCCCGAAAAGTGGTGATGACACAGTGGATATCCACATCTTCTGCAACCACTAAATTGAAACCTACCACCGTGCTGCCATTGGTAATACCTGTTATCAGCACTTTAATCACACCAGCATCCACCTGTTGAAGAACATCGAGGGGCAGAGATTTATGTACCTGGAACAAAAACAAAATGCACGTGGAGATGGATACATAGGGGCAATTAAATTTTAGGCTCCCAGAAGAGTATTATGCATTTCAACTGTGCTCCATACTCTAGAGGGAAGCAGCAGAAAATTGACCTTTTGCTTTATAACGTTTTCATTCTACAGCAGCTGAAGGATGTGATGTATATTTAACCACAAATATTAAACAAGCCAAGCAATTAAAATACCTCATCTGTCATTTGACTCTGGTCCTTGCCCCTGGTAACAGAAAGGGAGGGAGGAGGCTGCAGGGGAGTTCCCGTGTTCTGCCTCTCAAAATGCCTCCAGGGAGAGGGGGAAATCCAAAATGAGGAAGAGCTGCCAACGGAAGTGGAGATGCTCTTGACACTCCACACTGCATATATCTCTCAGAGGGGTCCCCCAGCCCAGGTATGTTACAACTTACAGCAGACCACCCTCAAGCCTTTCTTCACATCTGATTTCTCACCAGAGCCAAGCCAATAACACCTCTTTTTAAGTGGCCAGAAGCAGGGTAAAGAAAACAGAAGGGTGTTTCTTTTCATCTGCTCTGCCGAACAGTTCAACCTCCCAGTCTTCAATTTGATTTCAGAAATATTTCATTAAAGTCTTCTGTGAGGAGCATCATATTTTTTTCTGCAACTTCTGACTGTCGTCAGGGCACACAGCCCCGACTCTTGATCCTCCTGGAGAGCCCAAGAGCTGGGCTAGGAAATGGCTCTGCACTATTTTAAATAGGAACAGTCAGCCTCAAAGTATCGCAGCACCAAATCACCACTGAATTTAGGTCAGTCTGGAGAAATCAATAAAATAGGTGCTTGCAGTGTGCACAGTCACCTTGGACTTCACTGGTGGCCCAGAAAAGAAAATGCCACCTTTTTCAAAGTGCAGTGAGCCTCAGTCATGACTTGTCTGGGCAGCTCCAAAAGCTGCCTCCTTCACCATGCTGGAGAGGAAGATGGAATGCTTTCTGTGGGATGGGAAAGCACAGCCCTGTGTGAGGGTTTGCATCAGCTTGGCTGCTCAGCCTTGCCACTGCCCAGCTCAGATGGAGCCACCAACCCCTCTCAAAGAGCTAAACAGGCTGCAGCTCATGCTCAACCTCTCCCCTTCCCACCCTCCAAGGCTGGATACCTCTGGAGGGCAGCCAACCAAGGGAACATCTCCTCTTCACACAGGAGAGCACTCCATGGGATAGGGCACCTGGCCTTATGCAGGAGCCCAAGGAGGATGTACAACAGCATTTGCACTTCCAGCATCATTCCCCTTCATCTCTAACCCCAGCACCAGCCACAGGAGAAGCAGACATAGGTCACATGGCATCATCTCATGGGAGCAACACCAGACCAGACAAAGGCTAATTAATATTAATTCAGCTTTAAAGGACATTTTGAGAAAACATCATACACGGAAATACAGACTGTTTCTGAGAAACTCACTATGAAAAGAGACTGGTAAACATCCACACATTCTCACCTCAGTCCTTTTCCTTCAGTTGCCCAGAAAAGGGGCCTGATGAAACAGCACTGGACTTCCCAAAGGAAAGCAGGGAACACACACACACAGAGGTTTGCATGCCATCTAACCACAGGCAGAGCACGTACCTGAAGACCAGGTGCCTGGGTAAGCCCAGACTGTGTGATACCATCCATCAATGTCCTGAATTTTTCCATTAGAATTGTATATTTTCTTCTCTCCCTCTCTCCAGGAGATGCTCACAGATCTGTGTTTCTTAATCTCCTTCACATGTGTCTGGGAAGTCTTTTTAGATTCTTTTACACTTTACAGGTAGAAAGTGCAGCATAAGTGGGACATAACTTTCGAGCCTGCATCAGACAGGCAGTACAGGCTGTTCTGAGCTATCAGTATTAAAATTGCACTTAGAAACTGCCGTCAAGAGTGCAAGGGGACACTGTCCACAGCAAGACAGCAGCTCCCAGCAGCACAGAAAAGATAAATCCTGTGCTGACCCCATCAACCCTCCCGAGTCTGGGGTACACACAGCAGCCACCAGCCTCAATGCAGGACACAGAGAGATGGAAACAGCCAAAGAAACACCTACATTTTTTGTGATTTCTCAGCATATTTGCTCTTTGCCTTCCCCCTCCAGTAGCTTTCAGGCTCCCAGGAGAGGAAGGCACAGAGCAGCAGGGTAACCTCACCACAAGGGCCAGACGAGCAGCACTTGGCCCAGGTCAGAGCTGTGCAGGAGAGTCACCTCTTCCCCACACCTCACTTTGCTTTAGGCCCTCTCTTTAGGGTACATCACTCACTTCCCTTCCTGTGCTCAGATTTCCAGGGAATTAAGGGGCTGGGTGGGGGCTACACTGCAGCCGCCTCTTCTTCCTCCACATAACTTCTGCAGGAAATATCTGGAGCAGGAAGGGTGGACTTCAGCCATGAGTTTAAGGCAGAGGTCGTGCCAGTGGTGTAATGATCAGGGCTGCCAGCAGTGACTCCTGCCAGGGAAAGCCCTGGGAAGAGGCAAGGCAGGAGTCAGTGCTGGGAGCCAGCAGGAGAAGCAGCCTTGTTTCTCTTGCACCCACACGCAGAGCTGGTGCATTTTCTTCTGGATTATCCCAGGTGATCACAGCTTTTGCACACCTGTGTGCCCTGCCTGCTGTGCATTACCCAGCCCTGACTTGCCCATGACCCATTATCCAGCCCTGGAGACAGCCCCAGGATTTGCAGGCACACTGATTTGCAGCCCTTCCCTGAGTCATCAGGGCTGTTGTGTGTTGCATGTGCTGGGTGGCAAAGTAACATTGCACAGAACAAACCCCCTGCATGCACCTGGAAAGGGCTCCCATGTGCCTGCAAATCCCACATAGCAAACCTTGCAGTGCCCCATGGGGATGGAAACAGCTCTTCCCTATAAAAGCCTGGGCAGACCGTAGGTTGTCCTTGTCAGACCCAAAATCTCCCATTTCACCAAGCTGGGGGCTTTGAGCCCCTTCTCCTCTCTCTTTCTGCTGTTTCACAAGCAGGTACTGAAAAGTTGGAGGTCAGCCCTAAGCTTTCATCTTTCATAGTTTTTGTCTGAACTTCTGGACATTGAATACAAACACCTGTGACATCCTCTTAGCCCACCCTGATTTCATCCTCTTTCCTTATCTATCCTGAAAAATTTATTTTTTCAATTCTTCCTTTTCACAGAATCACAGAATCATTTAGGTTGGAAAAGAGCTCCAAGATTGAGTCCAACCTTTGATCAATCCCCACCTTGTCAACTAGACCAGAGCACTGAGTGCCATGTCCAGTTTCTTGAACATCTCCAGGAACGGGGACTCCTCCTTCTCCCTGGGCAGCCCCTTCCAACGCTTAACAACCCTTTCAGCGAACAAATTCTTCCTGATGTCCAACTTGAACCTCCCCTGGCACAGCCTGAGGTCATTTCCACTTGTCCTATCAGTGTTTCCTGGGAGTAGAGCCTCACTTCCACCAGGCTCCAACTTCAGGGAGTCGTAGAGAGGGAGAAGATCCTCCCTGAGCCTCCTTTTCACCAGGCTAAACACGTCCAGCTGCCTCAGCCTCTCCTCATGTGACTGATTCTCTAGAGTTTGTTTTTTTCCTGTCCTTATTCCTACTTTTCCTCCCAAATCAGATTTCACAGCTTTAAGTGTCAGGGGACATTCGCTGTAGTTGTGTTTAGCCACTAGGTGACACTACAAAACCCTTTATGCAAAAGGCTTCAGGATTTCACACAGGTACCACACCCCGGGTTATCAAAACAATGCTTGATGAAGGAGGGCTAGAAGAAAAGGGGAAAAAAGAGAACTTTTTGGAACGAAATATTCAGTACCCTTGGGCATGGGGTTTTCTTATAAGACAAATTATCTTTGAGTCTGTCATTGTATCTACAGTTTCTGTAGCACATAAAGGAAACCTGAGCAATGGCAGAGCAGGAGAAATCAGAATGCCAGAAGAGTCACAGAAAAGGGAGAGAACATGAGCAAAATTAACACCAGTTCCCTTTCTCAGGCAAGAAGAACAGGAGGCAGGTAAAGTCCGTTTTCAGGGCCAGGTGGAAGCCACACTAAACCCAATTTAACAGGATGGAAAAGGCCAATTTTTATATTTTTTTTTTTTTTTTTTAGGAAAAGGGAAGTGGCAAACCCAGGTAGCCAGGCTTACCCCAGGGATGGCTGTGGCATGTTTGGTGGGTTTTCTGCGAGCACCCATCCATAGGTCCAGGGAAAATGTCAGCAGCCACTGAGGAATTTAATGCACCTCAGTGAACGTATTTTCAATTCAAACCTTTTGTCTTTACTGATCCATTTTCTTGAGGACAAGCCCTAGTGTCATGATATTCTTCTTGGCTGTTTTCAAAGACAGGATAAGCACACCCCAAGAAGATTAAAACACTCCCTCACCCTCAGCTATGTTGTTTTTCAGTTGCATTGCAAGGAGGATGCTGAAGTTACCCTGGACAATGACAGTGCAAGCTGTCCCATCAAGTTTTTACCTCCTTCTGATCTACACATTATTTAAAGGATGATATTTCCATTTGCTGTACTGCCAATTTAACCACATGGCACTTAAGTGCTGGGGCTAAAGAACATTATACACATTAGGATTTATAAATCCTCTGAATTGTAGATAGTGATTCCAAAGAGGTTTTAAAAAATGTCTCAGGCAAAGTGTATTTAACTGGAACCTGATAGTGCTTTTAAAACCCATAGAACCTTCCTAACTCACTTTAAAGGATCCATTTCTGGTCCTCATAACCTGAAAAGAAAATCTGCAGATCTTTCTGGTCTCCTAAACTTCATTTCCTTTGGCTTCTAAAAATGCAACATTTGTAATATTATTTTGCCATAATATTTTTTGCCATATCCAGTAGCTATGCAACTACAGACTATATAGAGTGGCTTAGAGGTGGGAAGGAATCAGCACTAACACATCTCACCAGCTGATCCACAAAGCTGGAGCGCTGGAAAAAGGAATTAGTTATTTACAATCACAAGTGGTCATTTTCTGCCTGAGCGCTTGAGAACCAGATAAAACTGACACAAAACTTACTTTTGTTCCTTTATGCCATCATTTTACAATTTTTCCAGGCATACTTGTAGCTTGATTTTCTGGATTAAAGTATCTGACTTAATGAAAAAAATATATTCATTTTAGTCTGTTTCAGAACTATGCTGTTCTGAAATAGCCCTGGGGCAGAATGTGATGCTGAATGAGAGTGAGGTCAGTGGAGAATTGCTCCCTTTTCACTTTGCTAATCACGTCACTCTGCTTTTTTCCCTGTTTTCCTGATGTGACAGCTCGGGGCCGGAGCAGCTCCACGAAAGCTGTGCTGCACTAACACATCCAGAAAGGTGCAAACCAGCAATGGCCACTGGGAAGTTGATTTGATATCCAAGAAGACAACATCATGCACAGATCAATGGACCACCCTTTTCCCTCCTTGCAGTTGTCTCTGACCCCACGCTGGCCTGACCTCTGCCCCAACACGCGCTGCCGTCGGTGCACCCGCTGGGTTCAGCTGTGTCTCAGTGCCAGGCTGTGACTCTGCACACAGTGAGTTTAGGGAGGCCTCAGCAGGGTTTGAAATTCATACAATTATCAGCAGTGGATTTGTGACCACAGTTATCAAGGCCTCTGAATAAACAGACAGTAAAGGGGAGATAAGGAAGGCAATAAAGCAGCGCAGCACAACCAGAGGTTTTTTCAGGCGCGGGTGTGTCTGAGTGAGCACCAAAGGAACAAAACAAATTCCCTACAAAATTAGAAGAGTGATACTGTCAAAGGCAATGCCTGAGAATTCTGAGAGTGTTAAATGTGCAGCGGATATCACGGTGTGCTTTGATATCCTGCACTCTAATCAGAACTGAGGGCAGAGGTGACATGACAAGAAACCTTTCCCTTTCCAGATATGGGGCTACAAAAACAGGGATGATTATAAGAACTGTCAGCCTTGAGGTACTATAACAAAGGGTAATAGCAATCATACAGTTAATTAATCTAGTTCTGTGCAGGGCAAAGGTAGCAGAGCTCTTTGCAAGTTCCATTAACTTTTCACCACACCCCTGGAGGAAATCAATAATCCAGTACAACTGGGTGTGAAAAGCAGAGGATATGGAGGCACCAGAGAACCCCCAAACCCTCATCTCCCTCTAAAACACAGCTGTACACTCATCCTGCAGTCTCAGACAGCTGGGGGAACTCAGACTTTACAAAGCTGTGCCAAGGGACACACATGAGCCTTCATGGGAGAAAGACCATACACGTGGTTTCTTAGAGGCAGGTAACAGGTCATATCCTTATAAGACACTTACTTCATCAACAAAGAGCTGTGCAAAGGTTTGATATTCCTCACTGCTGGTATTGCTAAAGCCTGGGGAGTATTTCACATTTGTTATCCGAACTGTGCCACTAAGCTTCTGGACAGCTGCAAAGTAAGAAAAAAAAAAGACAGTTTAAATTCATGTTCTAAGGATTGTAGCCCATGGACAAGGGTGTGACAGTCTCCAGCATGCCTGGCCACCTGGATATCTGTATGCATCAACTCATAACAGCAGAAAGCTTGAAAGGTATCCAAAAGTCTATATGTAAGTCATCCAGCTCCTTAGTCTGCCCTGTCTGAGCCCCAGATGACTCTCAAGAAGGGCACTGACCTTCTGTAAGTCATATATCTGCCAGCTCTGTCTGGGTTGCTCAGTTAGCTGTCCCACCAGTCCCTCCAGAAGGCAAACCACTGCAGCACCAAGGTCCTCCCTGGAGCCTCAGAGGAAGGCTGGGCAGCTGCCTGAGGTTGGACATCTACACTTTAGACAGCTGTGGTGGGATAAGATGAATCCCAACAGGGTGTATTCTTTCCCCCTGAAGTCACATCACGTTAAGGCAGTCTCAAACATTTTAGCTTATTTCCTGATATTGCTGGTTTTCCCAATTTCTCTGGGTTTGGCATTGTTACCACAGATACTGGAGGTGATCAGAGGTCAGATAAAAGGGCTCCTCAATACATGGTTTGTACCCTTGGCATCCTTTCAGTGGCTTGCCAGGCAAGTTGACTGCCATCACTCAACACTGTGACCATTGCCAGCAACTCATCTTCCCTCTGACAGGTCAGCATACCTGGCATACCAAGACCTAATGTTACAATGGTTTATAAAAATATGGGATAGTCTTCACCAAAAACCTCAGGGATTCTATTATCTGATTCAGTTTAAAGTTGTTTGTGAATCAAGTTACAAGTCTTTGCTCCCTGGTTCAGCAGCTTGCTTCGCTCCCTACACACACCCATCTGCATTTCTACAGTGTGTAAGGCACCAGGTTCCAGCTCTGAGACTGTCAGACTCCTGTACTGAGTTTTAGTCTCCCATATTTCTGAAACAGCAAGAATTGTAAAGCAGAGCTCTGCATAAACTCTGTGGGCCACCTTACAGCAAAGTTGGTTCTAGTCACATTGGGATAATAATCATTTGAACTGGGACAGGATCTGGAAAAAAAGAAAAAGTAATCAAGTAAAGCTTTGCAGGGGAGAGGAGAAATGCCTGCTTGAAGCAAGCCACTGAAGGAGGCTTCCTTTATCCCAGCATACTTCTGATCCTGAAGGAACCCCCTCCACCACCAGTCCGATCCAAGATTTCGGGCTTGCTTTTTGCTATGGCTTGTGTCCTGTCAGGTGAACATAGGGATCTGAGGGGTGAATCACATTCAGTTATCTCAGGTGAGAGGGGGAAATGTTCTGAACAATTCTCAAATGAAAAAAAAAAAAATCAATATTTAAAAGACATGACAGACTATGAAGAGTTGGCTGAGGCTGAGCCTCCAGGTCAGAGATGATGCCACAAGGAGGAGCTACATATTAAACTCCACCAAATATGGATTTTTGCCTCCTAAATTCCTGCCCCAGGCTAGTGAGATGCCACCATGGCGGTTCTTGCTCTTGTTCCTCAGGAATAATCCCTTCACAAGCTTCATTCCCAGCAAAGGCCCTTGGCTGAATATTTGATTCAGGGAAAATAAAACAGTTTTTTTATAAACTGAACTTGTGTAGAATTCTTCAATTTATTTTCCAGTTGAAAAAAATTACCTCTATTTTTGGGTCGGTTAAAATTAGATATTTTGATATTAATAAAAAATTGTTTTCATTAAAAACAAACAAAACCCCCTATTTTTTTACTCATCCCTACATTGAAAGGGGGCAGGGGAAGACAAAGCAAAGCTGTAAGTGAAGATTTTCAGTTCAGCATAACAGGTTTTTCAGCCCAAAATTATTTGTTTCCTCTATTTGACCACTGAGGTCCCAAATCAAGTATTTGTCCATCTCTCTTCCAGGTTTCATCCATGCCAAGCAGAGCTAAGGAAGAGAGAAGACAGAAGCTGAGCAGGGCATTGGCAGGGCTGCCCAGAGCGTGTCAGGGTGGCAGGAATGATCACCCTGGCACTGGTGAGTAGGACTGGGGGTAGGAGAGGCTGGAAAAGCAGCAGAACTGGCCTTACACGGCTGAAGAAATGATTTTCCAGGGAGAAAGGAATGAGGGAGAACTAGAAGCAGAGCTGGACAAGGGGAGACCACCATAAACAGGAGATCATAGGGGAGGGAGAGAGGAAAGAGCAGAGGTGAGTGTGGTTTGGGATCAGAGAGATGAGGAGGGCACAGAGAGAGAATAAAGACAAGCAGAAAGAAATCTGAAATAACTACTGAATAGTAACACACTACAGAAGAAAATACATTTAGTGATAGGCAGAGACAGCAGCATTCCTATCCCAAAAAAAGCTGTAGTTTTAAAGACCAAGTCTGACTGTAACTTTGAAATATGATTCAGCCCTGACCAACAGAAAAATCCCCTAATTAGCTGCAACGCATCTGCCCAAACCCAAACAGATTAAGCCCTACCGACAGCCTTGTTATTCTCAGTTACAGCTCTTGAAAAAACATCTCACAGGTTTCCAGGCAGCTCCTGCCTCACAGGGGATTTATGGGGGACTCTGACTCATCATCCTCTGGTGAGAGGAGTAGGAAGGCAGGTCGTTTGCCTCCCTGGCTCTCTAAGTTAACTCTATAGGCAGCTGCTGCTGCAGTGCCCTGGTGCCAGAGGATGCAGGAGAAACCAAGATGTGTGGCAAAAGGACAAGCAGCAAATGCTGTGATGAGCCACGTTCAGTGCATCCTGAGTGCTTCCTCCTATTTGTGCTTCCTCCTCTATTATGGGTTTCCTCCTCTTTGAGATGAAGAAATGTAACACGGATAAAACCAACCGCCAAATTGCCAGGAAGAGAAATCATTTTGAGAAGGTGATTTAGAAAAAAAAGTGCCAGCTCCTGCAGGAAAACAATTTTGACACCGAAAAACTAGTTTCAGACACCTTCATCCCAGAGCTCTGATTCCAGCTGTGCATCTTTGCCGACTTTGAGAGAGGCTTTGCTTCTCACGCAGCTGAATTACCGTGGGTGTGGATCCCCACCATACTCACTGTGATCCATAGTTGGGCCTGGCACCAGGCTGGGAGCTGCAGAGGCACCTGGAAAAGCTGGAGACCCCAGGGATCCACTGTAATCCTGAGACCAAGAGCTGTTCTCTCTTGCCACCTCCACATCTGCTCCGAGAGTGGCGTTGAGGGTGGGAACACCAGCATTCCCTGTGGCCAGCAGAGCTGTGCCAGGGCCACCTCGAGAGCTGGCCTGGGGCACACCAGGAATTCTGGTGGTAGCAGAGGCTGTCTGATTTGGAAATGCCAGCAATGGGGATCTGAGTTGCTCCTGCCCAGCTGTGCTCGTGGGAATGTCTGTGAGAGCAGCCTCTGGCTGTGGTGCTCCAGGGGAAGCCTTTTCCAGGGAGCTTTGCTGCCATGGACTTGTGTCTGCCCGACTCACTGTGCTCACAGCCAGTGCCTTGCTGGTTGTGGTCCCCGTGGCTTTGGGGCTGTCAAAGCCCACCTGTGCTGCCAGACCTTTTTTCCAAGGGGCTGAAGGAGCACTGGTGGGACTGTGGGACACTTGTTTGTCACCCAGGGGCAGCGAAGAGGCCGCTGTCTCAGTGGCAGCAGGAGATGCAAGGCCTGCAGGGCTTCCTTCTTCAGGAGCAAACTCTGTGCTGTTTCTTGTTTCAGGAGCCATTGTTTCAGCCAGAGGATCCACAATCTCACCTACAACACAGGAAACACATTTAAGTGGTACCTCAGACTGGAAGAGAAAGCACCAGGGTCTGACCTGAAAATGGTACCAAGGCCCCTCAACCACATGTTAGAACACTGCAGAAACAGCTCTTGGCTATTCATTAACACCCTGTAGCATATGTGGGTTTTATAGGGCTGAATCTTTTTTGTGACTACACAAAGAGGCAGATTTGATTCCTGGGTCTCCTCTTCTGCTTGCCAGGCCATGGACCTTTACAGTGGGAGGAAATTAGCCACAGACACACCAAAAGAGGAAAAATTACTCCTTGTTGCTCATCAGTCAGTTATTTCAGAGGGAGTTCATCTGAAGAGATATATATATAAGGTTCAGAGACAGATCAGATACAATCTTTCAGCCAGAGACTGCAAAGGTGCAATTACATGAACAGATGGCATAAAAGCAGAGGTAAAACCCCACAACTTATTCCAACATTTCATGGCAAAGAAAAACCACATGCCAGTCTTTTGCTCACCCTCACAGTTCCTTCCAGGTCTGGATGGATTGGTATCCATGGTTGTCTTGCATCTGCACAGGTAGGAGCCCATCAAATTGATACACTCTGCAAACACAGAGCAGTCGTTCTCTCTGTGAGAAGCACATTCATCCCAGTCTGTAGACCAAAACAAGAACATGGGTCAGAAAGCCTCCCTTCTGGCTGCATTAAGATGAAAATAATCATAAAGCAGTCCTTTCTAAGTTTATTATGTGGTCTTCCTTTTGCATCATTTATCTGTCAGCCAAGCTGAATGATGGAACATACTATCTGCATGGTTATCCTCTCAGATATAAAAGTTTTGCTCTTGTACTCTGAAAAATATTTTCTCTGTTGAAAGACTTCTTTAACAATTATTTTTAGAAGTAAAAACTTACTTGAAATGAAAAAAATACTGCAGGTTTGTGCTGTAGCCATATCAAAAGCACACACTATACCAAGTTCTGTGTACAGTACCTCCAGATACATCAGCAAATTAACAGATCTGTTACCATTAGCTACTAGTAGCTAGTGAACATTAAATAGAGACTTAATCCAAATAATCTTCCACATCAAATAAGAAGTAAATGCAAGTAACTCCCACAGGAAGCACTCTTCCATTCTTAACAAAGGAAGGGCTAAGGGCAAAATCTCTTTTTATACAAGATTTCTTCTCAAATGTAATACTGTAAAACTGTGACCCTCTTTCTGGTAGTCTCAGAAAATAGCTTCTGGTTCATCAATGCATGGATATGCTCTAAGGATGTCCCTTATGTCTGGTTTCAGCTGCTCTGAATCAGTTAGAGATGCTTCTTTCATGCAATTATAGACCTATTTTAATGCTGAGTCTCTTCGCTCTGGAGGGATTCATATCTGATGTCTTGTATTGCTTTTCACACCCTGTTCCAGCAAACCTGCAAAGGCTGAGTTAGTGCTTTGGACATGAATAATGTCAGTGAATCCCACGTGAGCCCTCCCTGTGTGCACTCCCTCATGGATACACCTTCCCTGCCTCAGGGCTGTGAGAGAGGGAGAGCAGCAAACCAGACTGAAAACTGTGTCTTGGGACAAATAATTCTAATCAGAGGCAGAAAATTGTTTTGAACAACACATTAGCATAAATGTTTGTTCTGCAAACAGGCAGAGATTAATGACTATGATTATTTATCCTAAACAAAGGAATGCCCCATTCTGTGTGCATGCACATACGTGCACTCCTCTTTCTGCTTGCAGACAGCCTTCCCCTTTTACTTCCTTTCAGATAATACTTCAGTTCTTTTCCTTTCTTTGTCATTAGCTAATTGTTGTGTCCATGATAGCCTCCATCAGACAACTTCATGTGCCTGTGGCCAGCATCTGCTTATTATATTACAGCCTAAGCCACTTAGAGGGAATACAGAAAAGTGCAGGATTGACTAAACACCAGCAATGAAAGTGCTCTCATTAATTCCTTACTGTGCTGTGAAGTAATTGCGACTCCTGATGGCTTCACACACCATCGGAGAGATGCTCCCGTGCTAATTGCCGAATAACTTACATTCACTGGCTCCATTGTCTCTGAGGGTTTCCTTTCTCCTCACTTAGCACGGCTTTTTAAGCAAATTCCTTCACCTCTGATGGCCACACTCAATCATGCATCAGCCCAAAACACTTTCGTTCCCATCTCAGTGCTCACTGGCACTAGTACATCACTCGGGCATGTACGTACACACACACACAAACACACAGCTCTTTTTACCTCTATAACCATCACATCTCAGCCAAGGTGTGCTCTGTGCTCTCTTTCTCCTCTCTTGGCATCTCTCTGGCCTTTCACATTTGGCACTTCCCTACACACACACACCCCTCAACCAACAGTCCTGCTCTGAAAATTATAAAAAAACCCACCTTTGTGTTCGCTGTGATTACCCATTATACTTGTAAGGGACACACGCAATGGGTAAAAATCCGTGACATTCCTTGCCTATTAGGCTGCTAAAAGCCTGCTTGATTTCACAGGAAACACACTGGAGAAGAAACCCAAAGGAATCATTTTGGATTCAGGGAGTCCTGGAGCTGAAAACAGTTGGTGGGTCAGAGAGTAGTGGTGAGAGGCATCACCTTCACTTGCTGTACTCTTACAGTTCTCCAGGAATTGGCTCCTGGCTGCTACTGAGGATGTGATATTGGGCCTGACTCACCACACATCCCTTTCTCTTTTCTTACCACGCCTCACACAACAGATTTTATTGTCTCTATTCATCATGGCAATAAACTTAATAATTTATGCATCTTCAAAGAGAGATGCAATTCCTCCACTCCCTTCAGTTGTTCTCTCCCTTCTGACTTCTCATCCCTGCTTTTCACGGTTGAACTCACTGTCACTAAACCAAGCACAAAGCCTTGTGGTGGCCAGGCTCCACAGAGGATCCCCGTGTGGGATTACTGGGTTTACTGCCAAAGGTCACATCCTGGGGCTCTCAAGGGTCAGGAAGCAAAAAATACCCCATTATACAAATCTTTCCTTCATGTTCTTCACTCCTTATTTTCCACATTTGACTTAGGAAACTCATGTCAAACAAATGCTCCTTTGGGCAGAGCTAAGAAATAACCCCCTTTTCTCTGCCCCTAAGGAGGAGTGGAGGAGTTGGCCATGCTCCTGGATGAGAGTGGTGCTACTGGAAGCCACCTGCTTTTCTGCAATCCAAGTGACAGTCCAGAGCTATTGCCTTCCTCCTCCACACTCAGTCCCAGGATCAATAACAGTTGTAAAGTATTTTGGCACACATCAGCATCTTGCAATTCAGTATCTGCTGCCACTGGGATATCTGTGGCCTTTGGGTGCAATTTGTCTCTTCTGGTTTTTTCCTGTCCTGTTCTCCTTAACCTCCACATGCTCTGCACCTTCAAGACTCCAGAAGGAGTTTTCCCTGCTCACAGTAAATAAGCTTTTAAGGGCTCAACGCACTGGGAGAGAAGAATAACCTATTCTGTTGGCTTTGGCAACTTTCTTAACTCTGGCTGTCTCTGCCAGCTGGGAAACCTGAAGCCAGAACTTAGTCCTTTGAAGATAAAAATGGTGATTACTGAAGATCAAACAAAGGCCTCGTTTAACATAAATTCCATGTGTGTTTCTTTAGTCCTATTTACAGGAAGGACATTTGGGAATTTCTCTGGCCGGGTTTCCAGAGTGAAGATGTCAGATTTCTTTTCTTAAATCCTGGCCCAAACACAGCCCCACAGTCTTGAAGCACAAAACTGTCTGGAGGGAGTGTGTATCCAAAGGCTGCAAATATTCCACAGTAATCCTATCTGCAATTCAGCATGAGAGAGATATGGCAAACTTCCAACTGGGGACAGAGGAGAGGGAGGAAAATAAATAGGGAAACTAAGGGCTCAACTCCTTAAAAACACTGGAGGGAAGGAGTGCCTGCAGGTACCTGGGGACAGCCAATACTCCTTTGCCTGACCCTTCCAGGCTTATGGATAAAGCTCATGGAGGAGCTGTCACATCATGGTTTTCCCTCCAACAAACCACGTATTTTTTCTCCCTATAAAGCACATTTTGTGAAGAATACTGGTGAGTGTGATCAAAGCAAAAAGCCTGTTTTCTTCTTTAGAAAAATAATAATAATAAAAATTACCTCCTACTGCAGTGTTTTGCTGATCCACCAAAATCATGGAACTGTTGTGCAGGTAGGAAAGCACTGGGGCAAATATGGAGGCATTGACTGGAAGCTCAGGATCCTGCACAGTGATTCTGAGCCTCACAATGACACTTCCAGCCTGCAGGGATTCAATCCACAATTTCAGCTTCCCAGATTTGTATAAAGCAGAAATGTCAGGTGGAAATGAATGTTCAAGCTGAGCAAAGGGAGAGAAGCATCGACAATTAGGAAGCCAACAGGAAAACCTCCTTTAAAAGTCAATTAGGATGCTACATTTTTAAAGATTTATGTATGCACAACATAGAAAATGTTGTAAAACAAGTGCCAAAGCATTTCAGAAATCTTTACTTTTCAGAGATTATTGAGGCCCATAGTAATGTGAGTCTCCTTGGTGCACCCTTTGAAAATGGTATCCATCTGACCACTGATCTTACAAACCAAACTTCATTTTGGCTCAAGGGAGAAGGTTCCCTCCTGGTCCTGTTTGCCTGGGCCAGAGCAGAACTGGTCCAGCTCATGTTAGCTCTGTATGTCATGCAAGTGTTTTGTCCCAAGCCTCCTGTATACTCACCTCTGCACTCCCAGAATCTGGAATTGGATCATCTCCCCTGTGCCTTGACCAGTATCTGGCTTGATTTTGACTACTACCAGCTAGGAGTCCCCCAGGGAGGGTTTGTCTTTTGCCACAGCCCTGGGTCCAGTCCCAACAGGCAATCCCAATGTGACCACTGTGTTTTGGGAGACCCAATTGCATGGATGCAGGCTAGTTTGTGCCAGTTAGAGTTAGTGCCAGAGAACGGCTCAGGAAATATTTCATTTACCATTGTAGGCATAGGTATAGTTCCTAAGGAGTATTTGGAACTCACCAGTTCAAGTTCATCCTGCAGCTGAGTCCAATAATAAAGAAATCTCAGGGTGAGAGACAAGAAAAATGGAGGTAGATAACTTCAATAAAATGTGTTTGAGACAGCCCAGCCTCAAGGGAATATCACAATTACACCATGGTTAATTACCAGCCTGGTGAGCAGTCACGTCAGCTGAACAAATGGCATTGCTCTGAACAACAAGGCTGGCACACTGCTGTCAGTATTTGAGCTGTGCAAGAATTGGAAGTTCTTCCTTACACCTCTAGAAGGCAGCTCCTTGCTTGAGCCTTTGTTCCTTCATACACCTCAAAGCATGCCTTTGAGCATTGCAGAGCCATAAATCAGCACAGCTTCGTTCCCATTCAGTCAGAGTTTGCTCCAAAACATTCCTACAAACAAGCTGTTTGACTGGTCTAAGCTCACGTCAGGGTGGGGAGGCAAGAAAAGGAGGAGAGAGGAAGTGAGAGGGGGATGTTATGCTCACAAACACCCAGGGAGGCAGAGACAACACAGATGGGAAATGCTCCTTTTCCTTCACAACCCCATGATGCCAATTAGATCTGCATTAGTCTCAGAGAAGATTCACTCACCAAAATCCTCCTACACAACAAAAGTGAACAATTTGCAACCGTGGGAAATAAAACCGTGTCAGGAGGTTCAGCTTGCAGTTTCTCATAAGCAAACTCCTCTCCCCTGCTGCCTTTGAAAGTAAAGCTCCATTATTGGTGGGGTTTTTTTTTCCCCAGATTTAAATTTAGTTATATTTATGAGTCACCCTTTGTTTTGGGAAAGTCTCGTTTTGGATGGAGATCCCAATTCCTCTGTATGGGCCCTGTTCTCTGCAGCAAAACTGTAGGAGTTCCATCTGAAACTCCCCCCTTCTTTTTTGGGAAGCCGAGAGCTGGTAATAGGCTTCATGACTCAAGTTTTGTTCGTGGCTGGTTACACCTGAGCATGGACAGTGGCTACAAGTGTGCAGGCAGTGAACGTGGCTGGAGGAGAAAGCCTGATCCAGCCACTTTTCCTAAAAGAAGAAAGAGCTTTGAGAGCAGTCAGACATTTATTGAGATGACAGCGCTGAAATGAATGCCAGGAATGTCATTTCAATAATCCATTAAAAAGTCTCAAGTCAATTTAGTGTGAGTTTATTGCCAAACTAAAGATCCAAGATCCTGTTGCATGCCTGCATTTATAATTCCTTTACTCTTCTGTAGGGGAAAATTCTCTTTGGCTCCATTGCTAACAAGGCCAGGGGCTTGATCTGTCTAGTCAGTTGAATTTTGTTTTAATTATAAAGAAAGGTCACAGGAAGCAGCATGATAATTTTCAAGAGATATTTCAGCCAGGCATAAAGTCCTCTAGTAGACTAAATGAATTTTAAATGGAAAAAAATTTATTGTCCACAGATATTTTAATGTTACCTCTGTAAGAAACAGCCTTGAAAATTCTTCATATGCTGAGCTGCTGGAATTATGGAAATCATCAGTGAAGTTGTAGTTGAGAATCCTCTGAGTAACATCAAATATCTGGGCCTCTGTAGGACACAACATTAAAACACACACTGAGAAAGAAGGAGAGGAAAGGATTCAGTCAAAACTGATGTACCCAGACCAAAATCTCAGATGATGGAAGGAGAAGGGAGGATGAAATTGAGAGAGTTTGGTATTAAATAAAGAAAATACAGCCAAAAGGCTGCTACGAGTGTCCTACACATTGAGAAGATGCACTTACATCAGGCCCATAGAGACACTGAGGTGCCTGATTGCTACTACATGAGAACTGGGTATACACATACCTTTATATGTGGGTATACTCATACCTGGACCTGACCCTACATAACTCCTGACTTGAAATTACATCCAGGGTTGAATTGCCAGTAAGTTCATCTTTGGCCCACCAATCAAAATGTTTTTGTTTATTTTCCTCATCTTGGTAGTATGGATAATAAATACATTCCTAAAGTGAAAATATAACAAAAAGCAGTGCATGGCACTTCTCTGGTGAGCCCTGACAGATAACATAAGGAGCACAGGAGCCAAAACCAAGAGCCAAGGAATCTATAACTGCTGTAGCCTGTATAAACAGTCTGAGGCTGTTACTCTTTGGACTGATCTTTGGAAAACTTTTCTTTTTCTCAAGGGCTCCAGCTTCATATTCTGAAGTTCAGCCCTCTGTTTTCATAACCACTAGACCTCCTACTTTCCCTCTACAAAGGGAGTAATTTCCTTCTGACCCAAACTAGAGTCATCCTTCATCTGATCAAAGGGAAGGCTCTTATGGATAAATATGAACAGCAGCAGTCTCACTGTGGTCAGTAATAAATACTTCACTGCCTGCTCTTCAAAAAAAAATGGGGAGAGATTTATTTCTTTATTTGCATGAAGGCCTAGGAAATAATTTAAGGCCAAGGGAAAAGGAAAATTATGTTTGATCAACACACAGGAAGCCACCATCACTGGTTACTTGAACCAAACTGGGCAGGTAGTCTGTAAGCTTTCTTACTCAGCTCTTGTTATTCCCTTTAATCCTTTATTCAGCTGAATCTGCCCTTCCTCCTGGCACTTTTGTTAGCTCAGCTGAGCCCTTGACAAACCAGTTGACTGGATTTCTTGCTAGCCACAGGCATCAGCCAGGAAAAATGGGGCCTGATGGGAGATGAGTGGCAGCAGAATGCAGTGCCAGGCACCAAAGAAATGCAAAACAGAAGAATTCTAGATTAGCCTGATATCTGTAATAGTTTAAGTCAGCTCCAGCACTGCTTTATCAATTAGTGCTTGATAGTGTGGCTTGGATAAATGCTGGGAAAAAAAGTGATGAAATGTGAAGATGATGGGAAATGTTGTTCAGCGAGGACCAAATGGATCAGGTGAATGGAGAGCAGCTTCAGGGAGAGAGAAGGAAGGAGAGAGGGAATATATTTTAAGTTGTATATCTATTTTAATATATCTTAAAATGCATGTATATTTGAAGGTGTCTCTTTTACCTGTTTTAACACTTTGACGGGAGATGATGGTTTTTCCACAGGTTTCATAGCGGACCTCGACTGAATACATCACACCTGCTTCCAGATGAGACACATCCATTTTCATTTCCTCTGTCTTCAGGTCTTGGACAGTCTCCTGGCCCTTGAACACTTGGACTTGGAAAGTGTGGTTCAGAGGAGAAGTGACATGCCAGGACATTTCAAAACTGTTGCTGGTAACGCTGAAGATTTGGTGGTTTGTCACTGCAGAAGGATCTACTGACGTCCCAGGAAGAGTTAGCCCAGAAAAAGCAGCATTTCACCTCTAAAGCACTGTGCTATTCTAGCTCCACTATAGACAAACACTTTGACAATCAATAGGGTAAAGGTCCTCTTTAGGTCAGGGCAGAATCTGCCCCCCTCACACTACCAGGTCCCCTCACCCATGAACCATCCCACTGGAGTGGTTAATTTGGTGCTTACTCTTTTCATTTCCCTTTGCTATATGTATTTGTGTTGACTCATAGAACTCTAGAATGGTTTGGGCTGGAAGGGACCTTAAAGGTCATCCAGTTCCAAACCCCCTGCCATGGGCAGGGACACATTCCACTATCCAAGGTTGCTCCAAGCCCCGTCCAACCTGGCCTTGAACACTTCCAGGGATGGGGCAGCCACGATTTCTCCTGGCAAATTAATCTCCACTGAATGTCTAGGAACACTAATAACTAGGTAGTGAGCTACAGGTGCAAGCAACAGGAATAGTTTGGAAGAGTGAATCTGTGTACTGTACGTGTGTTGACACCTGCTTTGCCTCTTGTCACTTTAATCATCAAAATGCACCTCTTCAGGCAAAGGTTGTCTGGATTTATGCCCGGAAAACCCCCACAGACCCCAGCTTGCAGAGGCTGGGGGCAGAGTGGTGTGCAGCACTGCACCTGTTATTCCTCTCTAGTCCAGTGAAATCGTTGTCATGCCAATGGGAAAAGACAAGACCCTTCAAAGATGATTCCTCTCCTCGAAGGAGGAGGTGTCTAAACTAGGTAGGATGAATTGCCCTCCAGCAGAGCCAGTCTGTCTCCACTAACTAGAGAGAGATCCCAGACTAGACACCTCTCCTGCAGAAGCTGGGGTCAGGTGAGATGAGCATCACACCCCATGCTAACCCGGAGACCATGTCATTCTGCTACCACAACTTCAATTTTTTCATGCTGATGGTTAGACTAAGAAAAAAAGTTTGTTTTTGTAAGTTGCTTCAATAAGAAAAAATTGTTTCCAGGACTCTGAGCCAGGTGGTTGCCAAACACCCCCGAAGCCATCCCCCCCCTGCACTAGAGGTGCCTCAGTTTAATTCCTCTAGCTTCAGCTTGGATCAGAAGATGTGGATGAAGATCAAGAATATCCAGCCTGTCTCTCTCTGAACTCAGCAAAGAACTACTGAAAGCTATTTCCTCTCACAAGAAGGACAGGGTGTTTTTAAAAGGGCTGTGATAACTCTTATCTGAAAGGAATCTAGGAGTGACTGAATTAAAATCAAGACAATATTCATTAAAATCCAAGATTACTTACAGCATCCAGCATCTGCAGATTGGTTAGTTATGGGCAAAAGACTTGAATTCATTACAGAAGGAGAGCTATTGCTGGTACTAATGGCATCTACTGCTGAATTTGGAGTAGATGCTGCAAAGCCTAAGGGGAAATAGTATTATCAAAGAGTTAGAGTATTCCTAACAAAGCAAATCCCAAATAATACCATTCATGTTTTCCACAGCTGGAAAGCAGCAATAGAAGTAACATAAATAGGAAATAAGTACATTATCATATCACAAAAGCATAAAATAATACATTATCTTAATTTTTGAGATTAAAGGATTGTAGAATTGTTCTCTAGCTAAAGTATCGAATCTGTAAGCAGTTACTCATCTCATTAACTTAAAGCCTATTATCAAGCCCATTGATGTCTGTGGGCTTTAAGTACATGCCTCTATATTTTGCTGGGCTGGTACCACAAGGTATTATTTCACCCAGTGCCAAACTCTAGTTCTCTGCAGCAAAGGACTTGGAGGCAGTGGAGCAGCTCAGGGTGGGATCACACAACCACTGAGTCTGGGCTGCATTCACACAGTCAAATGGAGAAAAAACCTAAAAATTTTTATAAATAACATAATTAATTGTTTCCCAGGAGGCTGGGGAGGTGCACTGGTGGTGAATGACATTCTGAGAAGCAGTCAGGGTCTGAAGTTAGAGGTTTTGGCAGATGAGTAAGGACAGCTGAGGGTGAGATAGAAGAAACAGCAAGGGACCATGAAATAAATACACTGCATTTCAATCAGAAGCAGGTAACAGCTGGCTTATGTGGTATCTCCTCCCAGCAGGAGGAGAAGGGGCACTGAGTCCTCCAGAAATCCTTGCTCTGCAGGTGACTCCTGTGACAGACAGCAAATTCCCACAGAAACTTCCTCTGTGTTTCCCCAAGGTGAGATCTATGTTTCTTACCTTCCTTCCTTTGGCTCAGCTGGTGAGGGATAACATGGGCATGAGGGTCACAGCTGTAATAACCCTCCAGGTTTACACAGGTGCTTTTCTGGGGGCAGGCATTGAGTTCAGCATAGGAACATTCATTGACATCTAGGGAGAGGAACACACCTTGCACAGACACTGATATCAGCATCGAGACTGATCTGCAGTATGTATAAACCAGGCTCTGGATATGATAAATTCAGTGTAAATCTGCAGTAACTCTTAAAATAATTCTGGACGTACATGGGTGCAAAAAAATTGGAATCCTGACCTTCCCGAAAGCAGTTACAACCCTCTCACTTTTTACTCCATTTCTTTGGAATTAGAGGACAGTTAGGGGCAGCTCCTGCTTACAGCTGCAGGATGTCATCCAAACCTAAGAGATGTCAGCAGAAGAGGAAGGAGACCTGCTGAAAGTGATTCCACTGACAGTTGGACTGAGTAAACACAGAATAAGAAGCATTGAAAGTGGGGCTTATGGATGCACTTCGGGAGTACAAATGTTCAGACAGCTACGCAGCAATGAGTAAATTCACAAAACTTAAAACAAAAATACTGAAATGTTTACCTAACAGTTAAAAAGTAGGTAGTAATACGTTATAAGAATTAACAGACTATCAATGTGACTTGTTTCATGCAAGCTACTGATAGCAACACATCTATAGCAATAGAGTATATCTGCTTCCCAAGAAAACACTTTTCTTAAGGGTCTGTTGAATACAACTAAGGTGGACAATATAACAAATATGGACACCTTTGCTTTTTCTTTTGAAAATGGGCTATACTATTGGGAGAAAATAAATTTAACTGAGCCTTCAGGAGCATTCCCTTCTAAACTATTAAATCTAAAATTATTATTATTATTATTAACTACAACCCTCTCCGTCCTTTAACGGAAATGTCAGGGCCATATTTGCAAATTTTACAAGATCCGCTACACAATCTTTGAAAGCAAATTAATAGCCATATAAATGAAAATGCAAGTGAAGGGGGATGAAACCTCCTAAGAAAAGCTTCTCCCCCTCGTGACAGGATTGTAATCAATGACCTTGCACTTGTGTGTCAATCACTTCATACACGCGTTTCACCACGTCATCCAGGGAAGAAGAGACCTCAGCCAGCAGCGCCGGCTGGTGCAGCCCAAGGAGAATCTGGGAGGCCACTGTCCCGGCGTATATCCCTGCAGGATTGCTCTGGATGTGGTGCACAGAGGCATTCAAGGGCTGCAACGCGCCAGTGATCTGGAAAACAGGGGAACAAACACTTGAGCACCTCGTTCACTTCTCAGCGCAGCTGAGACGTAAATTATGCCACGATTATTATCATAATCTGAGTGGAGAAAGCACCAAATCAGAAAACATGGCAAAGTGGTAACATTTAGGCCTGTCTTTATGCACTCTTATTATCACATTTCACAACTAATTTATATTATAGTAGTGCCAAGCTAAGGGAGGTGTGGAGCTGATCTCAAAACACTTAGGCAGAAGGATGTAATCCAGGAATATACGGGAAAAGTCCTGCTTTGCAAAGTCCCAATAGACAAACATTACACATGCTGTTACAATTCATCTGTAAAAAAGCTGTCCAACACTTCTTACTTTCAACAGCTAAAAGGACTGCTGGCAAAGGGATAGGAAAGAAAAAGAAGAAAAGCAATAGACTGAGGATGAAAAGTGGGATTGAGGGTCACAGAGAGACCCCAGAGAGACCAAGCCACCCCAACTGAGTGTCAGGAATGAGAGAAGGGACGTGGTGGTGGGCCTGGAAGAAATTCCTCTGAATAGCAGCTTGTTAATAGTCCCTATTTCTCTAGTGTTTGACTTTGACATAGCTTGTTTTAGACCAAGATATAAAAGTCTTTTTAGATCCTTGCCCTCTATTCCTTACCACACAGTGACAGGACCAAGACTTCTTGCTTTTACAAGGATATGAGAAGGGGTAAATCAGGTGGAGGAAGAGCTACACCCATGCTGCTGCTATCATTTCTATTCTCCTGCCCATCAGTGATGGCAGATCATGGCAGATGGGTTTCCTTTGCTACTTGCCCACTCCCAGCTGGAAACTGGGGAAGACTAGAAATAAAAATGTAGGGAACTAGGGACCTGCCCTCTTGGGTGCCTTTCAAAGGCCATATCCAAGCCTGCTTTTCTCCACGGGAAATGCTTGGGTTTGTGTCCTGGAGGGTCTTGTCCTAGTTCATCAATCCATTTCCTAAGTACCCCTGAGAGGACAGAAAGACCCTCTGTGCCTGAGCAAGGCTTTAGTTTGTGGCCTGGTCCCTCCTGCAGACCCTCCTTTCGGGAAGTGTGCCTCACACCTCTTCCAGGGCTGTGTTTTCCTTGGTTACCTGCGACTCTTCCTCCTTGACACGTTGGGGACAGGGACAGATTTACTGCTGCTAACCCATTCCCAAGGCAGAGACTTGGTCCTGCAGCAAAAATATAACACTGCTGTCTGCCCCAGCCCTGATTCTGGTGGCAAGATTGACGATGCAACACCCTTGTCCCAACACGGTCCCCTGCCCTAATCCTGTTTTTTCACATCAAAACTTCTGGCACTGCTGAGTCCACGTGCTTTGTAGGTCCCAGTGCCAGGGATCAGGTTTGTCTCTTGAAAGCTTTAACTCAAAACTCCTTATCACACTTTGAAGGTCTTGAAATCTGGTCCCAGTCAGTCATAGGTCCAAAACTTACCTCAATCAGTGCTAGAGCAATCACTATTTAAGCAGGAAAACCCCTTTATTTCAGAATGTCTTTAAATTGCCCTTGGAAGAGACGTTAAAAATTTACTAGAGGAGCTGATAAATCAACATTACTTGAATTGCTTAAGGATGCAGCTGACATTCAGTAATCAGAAATACATTAGGGCCAAAACCAAAAATTAATCTGGCAGAAATGAGGGGGAGCAAGGGGTGGCCCCTGAGTAACAGAAACGAGGACACAACAAGCAGCACACGGGATTGTTCATGTTTGTACATACCATGGAGTGCAAAAGGCGGGAATGATTCAGAAGGTGGGAATCCACTCTGATTAATTCATTAAAATCCATTTTCACAAGCACTGTCACGTTGTACCAGAATGTTCTTCCTGAAGTGTACGAAATAGAACAGCCAAGTCATCTGAGGTCTAATGCTATAGAAAGCAACAGAGCTATAGGAAAGCTCCGAGAGAACAAAGCAGGATTTAACTTGGCAAATATGAAGGGCCCAGGTACAGCCCATCACCTACTGCCTCCTTTGCCATATGCCACCGCCTTTGCAGGTGCCAGCAAAGGAGAACAAGCCAAGGAAGGTCCATGGGACCTGCAGCACCCACACACTGCTCAGTGCTCCCGGGTGCAAGCACTGAAGCTGAATATCATGGAACTGATCCAAGGCAGATTCCCGTATTTGTTTTATGAAGAGCTATGGTAACAGTTTTCCTGCCCAATCCCACCCTCAGAAGGAAAAATTAAGCATATTTCTGTTAGAAGCAGTCCTGAATTTATCAATAACATACCCTCTGGCATTGGGTCCACACAGCCTGCTCCTTTGGATGAGTTGCAGCATTTTTTGAGCCCTGGACACTCAGTATCGAACGTGCAAGGATAATCAGAGGTTTCCATATTCTCCATTGGACAAATACCAGGTCTTGAGGCAAATACACTGGATCTGTTGAGTGCTAAGTAACAAAAACATTTCTGAGAACAAAAATATAGAAAATTGTTTCCACAAAATTGTGCTATTTAATTTATAGCAAACACCTCCTCCTCACTTTAGAAGCGCGTCTGTTCTGAGGTTTTCACGGGGAGAAAACAACAGCCTAAAAATACCATTATTTAATTCCAAGGGCATAAATGCTCTCAGATCTTTCTCTCTCTCGTGACATTTCTGCTACAGAAATTTTGAATCTGTAAATTTCCGTTAATAATTATTCTAACTTCCGTGGCACAAGGCTGACCTTTAGTTACAGTAATTGTGGGTGTTCCATGAGAGCGGAGACACGACGTAGTTCTCCGGTGCAGGTGAGTGGGTTACACAGGAGGACAGGAGAGCAGAACTGAGCCCGTGGCTGCAGCCTGGCAGCACCTGCTCTGTACCAGCTGGCCACTCCAGGAGGTTGGTAGCCCATGCCAGAGAGCCCTGCAGAGAGGGCAGCTAGGGCAGAAGGTTGCTGCTTCCAAGCCAAGGGCAGTCAGTGGTCCTGTCTCAATTCCAGGACATATTTCTCTCCAAAGGAAAAAACATTTCTAAGCCTTACAATCACTACTTTCACCCACGGTCTCAAACACGGCTCCATGCTCAGCTCTGGTCTTTCTAATCAACCTGAAAGATTTCTCTTTTCCATTCATCCTGCACCTACAGATTTTCGATCCATTACTGGGCAATTAAAGTCAGCCAGGAGGAAAATTAACCTGATTCTTGCAATGGAAATAGCTGTGGTGCAGAAAAACCACATTTGACATAATAAAGCCCATAGAAAGTGAAAAGTCCACAACAAATTATAAATCTATCATGAATCATCAGTTCTGTGGGTTTACAGTTTCTGTTATCCCAAGACTCTGGATGACAGTAAATGTGAGGTTTCTGAGAAGCAGAAGGGGATACTGATACTGACTTTTGGTCTCACTGAAGTAACCTTCTTAAACAGGGAAATTAATTAATCAAGATTTAAACTAAATCTCTGTAACTTGCTGCCACGTGCACATTCCGAGTTCCCCCCTCTGCCAGTCTGTGGGAGACTGGAGGCTACTGCAAGCAGAAAGCCTCAGCTTTTTGGCACACTCCATAACAGTTCTCATTTTTAGCACTCCAAATCCCCAGCTCAATCTACAGTTGAGGGATTGATCTTAAAACTATGGTCTGCAAAACTCAACATGTGCAATTTTCAACCATTTACGCAAGTGGACATACAGAGATATTTGCACAAAGAATTAGGCTATTAAGAGCAGTGGTTTGTGTCCTTCTAAAGGCCCACAGTATCCCTGTCAAGGGCCTCTGAAAGGTAACTGTGAAAAGTAGGCATAATTTAATGATGGGAGTTACCTCCACTGAAAAACCTTCCGAAATCCAGATGCTGGGGAACAGGGAAGACACTGAGTTGAGATGTCTCAGTAGGATGCAGGTTATTTGCACGCATATTTTTAAAGATCTGCATGTAGAGCACATGGGATGGCATTTCCCACACTGTTTTGTGTTGTATTTCATCCGCTGTGTGCGTGTATTTTGTGTGCACACATCCAGTGAGCAAAAGCTTTAACAAGGCTTTGAGCACCTTTCACAGAGAGTTGGTGTGAGACCCACAAGAGCTCTGGGCAGCAAATTAGGAAACTCTGTCCCTATTTCCAAACCCAGTGAATGCCTGGCTGCCCTAAAGGGAGCAGGATTTGTCCTCCTACCTAATGCAGCCTGTTATGGGCCTTTTCATGCCTGTAAACCAAAGTAACTCACTCTTTAGTCTCTCACAGGACCAACTCTGCCTCCAAAGTTCACTCTGAGTCATAGGCCTCATAGGACAAGAAAAAAAAAATCGACCCTGTGCAATCTTACTCAACTTACTTTGGGTCCAGCAAGTCCCAGGAATCCCATTCTGCTTCCCATTATAGACCAGGAACCTCTGCTTCTGGCTCTGGGGCTGGCACTACGAGCTGTCCCCCCAAACAGGTCTTACTCCTGGAAATATTCTTCCTGATTTTCAGTCTAAAACCACAATAAGGTGTGATATGGCTTCAGATGCCCTTAGCTGAGTCTCCCAGACATTCCCTGTCTCATGTGATTGCTCCATCCCAGCCTCCTGTGCAGGGAGCTAAGCAGCCTCTCACACCAGAGCATCAAGGGATTTCCCTGTATTAGTATATTCCCTGTTCATCAGTGCTCCTTACTATTCAAAACCAGGTGGATCTTGGTAAGCTGGACCCAAGCATGTGAATTCCTCCAGCTCTCAGATTCAGGTGCAGTTCAAGCAGGTTTGAGGTTCAAAGCAGAATTTTTTCCACCTGGGTCTCTTTTTTTTTTTTTTTTTTTTTTTGCTTGTTTAACTGCAGTGTAAATGGCTTAATGAGTCACATGCAATCTCAGAAAACACTATTGAATCCTGGCCCAGTGCCTCCCTGGCCATTTATCTGAAATCAAAAGGTCATCGTTTTCGGATCAGCGGAAGCAGGGGTGGATTCACTTCACATTTCTGCCTAATTCTACCAGATGCACTTTGAAAATTCAGTTTATGCTCTCCACTTCAATAACGTTGGGGACAGTCACCTACCAAGCAACGCTGCCAGCACTGGGGAGCAAGCCAGCCAACTCCTCTGTCAGTTGGACCAAGTACAGGCTTTTCTCCTCTGTTATTTACACAAATGTATGGAAACAGAGCTGCAGCACCCAGTGCTTAGCAACCAAAGGTCAGTTACCAGCCTGCCCACTGGAGAGCCACTGGATCTGCTGTGGCTGCAGGAGGGAGGGATCTCCCTGGAGATTGATGCTGAAGGACACCATTATCTCAGCCATGATACCCTCCCTCTCCCTCCTTCCACCTGGAGGGGACAGGGTTCATCCAGAGGGTATGGCAGAGCCAGGGGGACCAGCACCCTTCATTCATCTCAGGTATCAGAAGGTGGAGACAAATCCATGAAATTATAGAAAGAGTCCCTGGCAAAGTCTGTTCCAAAGGCAGACTGGCAGATTTCATCATATGTTTTGTGGGACTTTGAGCATTGGTAGACTTTACCTGCTCACGTGGATGTTTTCCATCCTAATTCCTTCTCCAAGGGTTAATTGGGTTGTGTGTTGGTCCAGTATCTGACAAATATTTAACACCCTTCCCTGTGGAAAGCTCTGTCATCCACTAGAACATATTCAGAAGCCATGGGCTGAAATTTGGCAAGGATGCAGCTGTGGGACAAGGGGGGACCACGGCCTTCAAAGAAAGACTTGTAAGAAAAGACTACTAAAAAGACAAGGACTTTTGTCTTGAAAAAGAGGAGGCTGAGGGGGATGTGACCAAGGTTTACAAAATCCCGAAGGCAGAGGGCAAGGTGAAAGCAGAGCTGGTTTTCACCAGAGCCCACAGTAATAAAAGGAGTAAAAGCACACATTTCTTTACCTAAATGGATTGTGGAGGCAGACAGCTTCAGTGGGCTCAAAAAGGGACAAGACACTTCCCAGACAGGATTCCCATAAGCAGACACTACAAGGAACAGGCAGGGACAGACCCTCTGATGCCCATAATCACATTTCTGCAGCTGCTGAGGGCACACAAGGGACCCAAACTGCAGGGCAGGAAGAGACACCTGCTCCTGGGTGAAATTCCATAGGGCATTTTGGCACCTTCCCACCCCAGGCTGATGCTGTAACACTGCCCATATGTGACACCACCATCCCATGGCTTTCTGGTGACAGCCCAAGCATTAGGGACAGCTGTGCCACAGCTCCTCACTGCTCCAGCTGGAGTCAGCATGGGAACATCTACACACTGGTCCTAAAATGTCCCAGTCCTGCCGAGGAGCTTCCTGAGCTCCAAAAATGAACATTTTTTACTTTACAGTGGTTTTTCTGAAAACCTTAGGGAGTTACGCACACAAAGAGCACCCTGATTAAAAGTGTGACCTTAACATTGCAAATCAAACACTCTCAAGTTAAGAAACTCCAGGATTAAAGTTGGCTGGGCCTTCTTATTTCAGGGTGTTTTTCATGGAGGTAACAGATCAACAGTGTGCTTAGGGAACTTGAACTAAAACAGTGTTTTAGAGACTTGTGTGCTTAGAAACCAGGGTTCATTGCATGCTGATGCACTCTTTCCCTCCCTAGCTGGGGATCAAGCAGGGTTAGGTGACAGATGAGGAGCTCTCTGGTTTCATCTTGTGCTGGAAAGTGGGCAGGCAGCCAGTCACCAGCAGAAGTAACTATACCATCCATTCAAGCAGCTGGAAATTAGCCTGGAGAATTACATCCTGTCTCTACCTGCAAGATTCTGGGAAAGCTTTGTAAGGTGAAACAACCTTTCAGAGCTGTGGGTTTTGCAGGTCCATGAGCCTGACCTGCAGCCCTGGACCTGCCAAGCAGTTGAGGGACTGCTCAAAGTCACCACTGAGGATGTGAATCTCTGTGGCCCAACCACACAAGTTGTTAAAGGCAGCTCTAAGCACTCTGAAAAGCAAAATAAATTTAAAAAAAAATTTAAAACTGCCCCCAAGGTGTCTGAGAGTGGGCACACAATGGATTGATCTCAGTATCCCTGCAGCTCAGTTGTCCATCTGTGAAAGACAGAGAACCTCCCTCGCTTCCTGCAGTCTGTGTGAAGACAAACTGCTGCGTGTAAATCCCCCAGGATTCACCTTAAGAGGTGATAAATAATTCTCTCTTCATTGAGAGGCTCAGCAGAGCACTGCACCATGCACTGAATGTGGAGGTCAAGATGGAATGTTGCTGGGGAGCTCCTTAGAGGGGCTCCATCATCCCTGGGCACCACATGGAAATGTGGTCCTTGGGGCACGGTAGAGCTGGATTAGGTAATTAAAAGAGTTTATTAATCTTCACAGGCCCAAAGAGAGAAAAAAAAGGTTGTTTCATTCAATTCCACCTTTGGAATTAATTCTAGCACTTCCTAACTTTTAGATAATTCACTTTTGTGTTGTTATTTAAAAATGTTGAAGTCATTTGTGTAATGCTGTCCCAATGGATAGATGGGCAACTAGTGAGAACTACAAAGTCATTTAACAATGTAGGTACTTTTTCCCATCATTAAAGAAGTAAGAAAACAGGGCCTGCCATATCCCAGGCAGGGGCAAATGTTTCCTTCTAGGAAGAAAAGGTGAGGAGTGGCCAGGAGCAGGTTGCTGGGAAAGGTCATGGAGACCTTTCCACCCCTAGCAGGATGAAGAACATGACAGCATGGATAACGTCAAGGAAAAAATAACAGTAGTTCAACAGCATGCTGTGCAGTAATTTCAGCAGTTCCAGTTTCTCTTCTCATCATTTATTTAAGACTGTGTCTAGACAGTGCATTACCATTCACAGAAATTATGACTAATGCCCTGAAAAGCAAAGATACCAGAATAATGTAAACACGGAAATCACCTAGAAGCCATTCAAATCCTTCTACTGCTTAAAATATTCACAGATTAACTTTGACAGGAAAAAGAGTCAAGGTGACCACAGTATTTCATGGACAAGCCTGCCCAGAGTGCCCATCAGCAATGTGGTAAGGGCAGAGTGGAAATTCTGCAAGGTTTACAGGAGATGTACTGATTTGTTCCTTTTAGATGAAACAAACCCATCAACAGCTCTCAAGTCCAAAATATCCTTAGAGATGCCTCTAAAATACATAGAATTTTGCTAGGAAAAAAAAAATATTTAAAGTGTTTCCAGGATGCTTTTTTTTTTCCCAGACAAGAAGATGGTCTTGATTTTCAGAGTTTCAAAACACCTGAGTTTCTTGTGCAAACTGTGATACTCACAACTAGCAAGTGACTCTTCCACATTTAGCTGGTACAGCTCTCTCCTTGCACTACAGAATTGAGGCCATTTTCTCTGATTGCCTCTCAGACTTGTCATTTGACTCATGCATGCACACACGAATGCACATGTGTGTATAACAAAAAGACCTTACTAAAGTAATTTTTTGACAATAATTAGACATACTGGAGATTTTCTCCAGTGCAGAACTGATATTTGGAAAATGCAGATGATCAACAATGGGTCCTTTGCCAGTCTGACAAGACTGCCTGGACACACAGTAACCTGGAGGCCAAATTTTGCTGTGGCTGACACTCCACAACAGCCACAGAGCCAACTAACAGGAGGATACACTAAATTAAGAATCATGTCTCTCTAATTATGCTTTAATTTCTCTTCTATAGCAAATAATTTTAGGAACAAGTAAAACACAACAACTGTGTTCCCATCTTTCTTTTAAAAGCACTTTCCTGCTAGACAAGATATTCTACTACTGTTGAGAAAACACCTGGAAAAAAATTGCTGGGAGGCTCTTTTTCCAAAGCTCTGAAGCAGCTTAAAAGTAGGATGAACACATTGTTCTTGACAGATCCCATGACAGGATATATGGCTCATACCCTCTCATGCCACGTTATATGATCTGGTGCAGGAGCAGGTTTGGGGACATTCCCACAGATCTGAGTCACCCAAGTCTCATGACCCAAAACAAGGGCCAGAGCTGCAATAGGACCTTTCCTTTGCAATCTGCTGTTGCAGTGTGTGACTGTGTAAATGCCCAGGTCCATACTGAAAAGGGAACATGGAGAAAATGTGATGTCACACTGAAAATAGGAGATTAAATTACGTCCTGCAGAACTTTTCTGCATGACAGAACAGTTCAGTGCCGGCCTAGCTAATCCAAGATGCCTATTCAGCTCAAAAGCATGTAACTTTATCCATTAAAAAAAGAAGTTCCTGTTCCCCAAGGAATCTCTTCCATCTACGTCTCAAGTTCTAATAAAACTGGGAATTTCTTGTTGACAACTGGTAGCCCTGACGTGAGAAGGGGAACAAGCTTCCATCTTGAGACAAAGATGGTTAAGTCTTCCTGAGTAGAGCCTTGTTAACTCTCAGAAGTTAGATCAGATCCACCAAAAGGTTCACCAGTTTTCAGACCTTCCCCAGAGTCGTAGGTAACCAAGGAGAAAATGGGCCCTGGTGTAGTTTTGTTTGGAAAGGAGTTGGTACTGACTTGCCCTGAGGTCACAGATTGTTTTAAATCTAAACCAAAATTGGGTTTGCATTCTGGGAACAGACCCTGCTTCAAATCAAAGGAGATGTCATCCTAAATGCATCCTGGATTATTTCTGACAAGAAAGTTCCCCATGTAAATGGAAACAGGCTCAGAACAGACACTGCACCAGGCACAGGGGAGTTATTGCACTTGGCCAGGGACACTGGCCTTAACCAGGACAGGTAAGGAGCCCCTGGGGGGATAGCAAGGGGGTCCCTTCTTCAAGATCCCCTGGAATTTTAGTGAATTTGTGGCAAAGAGCAAGAATCAGGAGCTTTAGTCTTTCATGTCTACTCCTTACCTTGTTGGACAAAGTTTACTCCACATTTTTGCAGACTCACTGGTTCCAGTGAACAGGAACCTATGTCCCAGAATGGGATGAATGCTCTTCCACAAGAAGCACTTTTTTCAACTCTTAATCTGACCAAAACTTACCTAGAGAGCAGTAGAGTCCAACTTGTTCATATCCCTCACAGCAATCTGTGAGAGTGATGGTTTCAGGGACTTCAATGCTACGATACTGGGTTTTATAGTATGTCTGGGGACACACCATCCACGGTATCCATCCTCCACAGGACGTGTTTCTCTCGTAGGACTTTTGGTAGGCAACCATTTTAAACACATTTTTGGTCAGGGTGTAGTTGCACAGATGGTACCCTAGCAAAGAGAGGCCTTTTTCTGGGGAAGAAAAATAAAAACAGGGAAGAAAGGGATCAGCATTAACTTGTCACTCCGGAGCATCAGTTCCCTGCGAGTATCTAGTTGAAAACAGTGTTGTGAGAAAGCAGTGACAGAACCAATAGAGATGAATGATTTCCAGGAAAGCTGATGTTAGGAAGAACATCACTTCAAAAAACAGACAGAAGAAAGAATTAGTAGTGACTGCTTGTCATGGGCATCACTTTGGTCCTCAAAGGATGCAGATTGCCAGAAAAGTCAAAGAGTTCTTGGTGCCTTCAGGAACAAAAGGACATAAAAAGGACATAAAAAGGACAATTTAACTCAAGAAAATGGAAAGGAAATTAGTATATGTTAATGGAAAATAGTAGAACAAAATAGACACTTCCAGGCCAGAGTCATCCAAGCACTTAACATGTCCACTCCAGCCTAATGATGCCAAAGTGTTCATTGCTCTCCTCTGGCTATAAAGGGAATGAAGGGAACTCATGGGCAGATGAGTCACAGTAGATGTCTGGAATAAGACATCCTTCAGACATCACTCCAGGCTAAAACTGGGTCCTCGTACATCATTGGGAAGGACTTTCAGGTGTCTGACACAGAAGGTATTCCTGGAGCTCCTGTGCTGCCTCTCTGCATTTGTAGGAGATCTTGTTAGATCAGGCCTTGAGACCTGAGGTGGTTCATTGACTACAGGATAAACCAAGCCAGTGATAAGGTCGTTAACTACATCATTTCACACAGGTCTGGGAACAGGACTCGTTTTCCAGAGTTCTGAAACTATTCGTGATGAGGAGTGAACTTGTTACATGTTTTACTTAAAACTGAAATACTTGAACAGGAACAGGGATTAAAAAAAACCAACACCAAACAACACAGAGAAACATCAATGACAGCAACAGATCCAGATGGAGTTTAAGAATTAGCAGTAAGCAACCTACAGTCATGTCACAGACATCAGGCTGGCTCCTAATGAGATATTATAGAAGCCAGAGGGGCTGAGTCACTCTGTGTCCCATTTGGGAAACCGATTGGATAGAATTAAAATGCCTGCATCATCCTTCAGACAAAGCAAAAGAAACGTTAACAAGGATAAACATGAATTAGCTGCAGAGATTCAAATATAGCAGGGTTATTTTCTTTTCTGAGAGCTCTGAGGGCACCAGGGTCAGCCAACAGACAGACTGAAGCTAACACAGTATACACAAAAGACATACAATTAAAATATTTACAGCTTCTCTTATTTGTACACTGTTGCCTGAAAAGATGAAACACATAAAAACAATTCAGGAATTGTCAGGCTCTTGGGAATCTGTGCTTTTATCACGTTTAGCTTTCCAGCTAAACAAAAGATATATGCACAATTTGAGCAGGACTGATAAAAAAGTTTTGGACGGGATGACCACAGGGGCAGTCCAGAAGAAAACATGGAATAGATATGGTACCTAAATATGGCCCCTGGGAGCCCAGCCCTGCTCTGCCCAACCCCTCTGTGCCTTCCTTCTGCAGCAAAAGGCAGAGTTCGACCCGGGTTGTGCTACAGGGAGCACGTGTGGGAGCAAGAGAATTCCTGGCAGGCTCCACACAATCTGTGCTGCTGCTTAGAGCAGGTTAGCAGGAAAATATTGACAGTAAGGGCATAGCTGGAAATCCCACTCCCTGCTTATTCCTCCTCCCCAGCCTCAAGCAGGGCATCTCTGGGTCCAGTCCCTGAAGCAAGATCCAGAGGCAGAGGCTGGAAGATCTTCACATCCCTAAAAAGCACCAGGGCTTGTCCTTAAGAAGAGATTGAAAGGAAACAGTCACGAGGGGTAGGAAGACACTCAGACTGTCCCCAGTTGTGAGGCTGAAACCCACACCCAGCCTGAGCCAGGAGAGGACCCCAGTGGCCAGGATGGAGGTCTGACCAGGACTGGGAAAGCCCATTCCCAGTCGTGGCTGGGCAAGAGGGAATGGAGGGGGAAGTGAGTCAGGGAAAGCAAAGTGGCCTCCCTCCCTGGATAACATTAGGATATCCATCTGGGAGAAATGAGAAAAGAAATATGGGTTCTGGGGCAGAAATCAGAGATCTGATTTTTATGCTGCTTTTTATCCAATGCATTTGATGGATTAACACTTCACATGAGGCACAAGTGCCTGATAAGAAACAGGGAGCTGTCACTGCATTTTAGAAAACATTCCCTTGCCATGTGCTAAGAGTGCTCCAAGAATACCTATCCCTGCAAATGCTTCTAGGCTTGTAGGTATGGGGGAGGGAGGAAATAAATCTTGTTTCATCTTTTTTGCCTTTGTTTTTTTTTCTTCATTAGTTTGGGACCTGAAAGGCTAAATAACCAGAGTGGAATAGAGAGAGCACTTAAATCACTTTCTCTAGAAAAAGGGCATAAGCATCTATTGGTGACCAGGGAAAGCAGAAGGAGCGGGACAAATTTTATCCTATGAAAATGAGAGGAAAAAGAAAACACCTCATGTATTAGGGAACCAGACTGTTATTATGTTAGAGGAGAGTAGGAAGAAGACTTCAGCCTTGTTTCTCATCCCTGTGATCCCTCCATTTCCACAGAGCACAGGTATAGCATGGTTGGAGCAAAGCAGGGACTGGAAGGGAACAGCTGAGGAAGGAGAGCACAGAGGATTCCCGTTGTCCGTGCAGAGCCAAGGCTGCAGCGAGGACATAGCACTGGAAAGCTAAAAATTCCAGTGTCAGCTGAGCTGGCTTAGTCTCTACAGCAATGTGCAACATAAACACAGGTATGAAACTGAGAATAAAATGGTGTAGAATTAGACACAGTTTATAATTAGAAGCCACAGCTGTCAGAGCAGATATGAAATCATATTTCATACTTAAACATTGACACTAAGTATATATATATATGTGTGTCTGTGTGTGTATATATACACTAGATATAGAATGAGGCTGCCAAAGCCAAAAGAGAAGGTTTGAGATATGGCTCTGGTGGTACAAAAAGATGCCCTTATTGGAAGAGTTTGGGCTGAAGGTGGCAGGGAAAGTTGCAGCACGACCAACTTTAGCATCATCCATCACTTCCATACAGTTTAAAACAAGCTTTGACACTCAGAGAGTTCAATTATTTGCTGACAGCAGTTTGCTGCTGAGCAATGTGGCTTGGATCAATCTGGGCTCTTTAGCAAATTGGCTTTCTGCTCTCATTGCTCCCATCTATAGGATTATGGCACAATCAAATGGAATTAAAATGCACTGGCTGCTGTTTCCAGAGACTCAGAGCTGAAGTCAATCCCAAAGCAGGAGAAGGCAGACACCTGATGTCAGTAGGGCTGTGTTACACTTATCATCTCTGGCCTTCAGTTTTGTGTCTCAGAAACCACCAGCTTTCAGCACTGTCAGGAAGAGCATTAATTTTTTTACATTAAGCAAGAGCAGAAACAATTAAAGCAAATATTTTATTAATAGAAGAAATAAAGCCTGGAAGAAAAGGCTGCGTTGGAGCAGGCTGCTTATAACTCAAGGTCAAACCCAGATCAGAACTGAAACCAGGGTCAAAAAACAGCAATAAAGAATGCTTGATAGCATTTATGACACAGATACAGCTGCAGTTCTCGAAACTTCACTGCTCAAGTGCCAGAAAAGCCACTGTGAGCTGGGATCTGCAAAATTTTTTCTTGCTGGAGAACAGCAAGAGCCAAAAACAAGCCCTTTTCTTATCTTGATGTAACCTCAGAAGTCATCTGTTAGAAAAGGTTCCCAGAGGGCAGATTCAAGCTCAGCTTTAAAAGGCAAAGGCTCCAAAACAAGAAGAAAAATGGATTAAGAGCTTGATTTTTCTGCGTATTCCAAATTCTTTTTAAAGTCAACACAATTTAAATTGTATTAGAATGGGGGTTCTGCTGGCCCCTAACCTGTAAAAGCCTTTTTTTTCAGCTGTGACTTGGACAGAATAACAGAAAAGTCTGCAGGGTTCTAAGAAATATGGTTTATATTTAACTGAGACTCACTAAACCACTTAAGCAAAAATATGCAACAAAAAGCAGCCAAAAGTCACGATCTTTTCTCATCTAAATAAATCAAACCAGAAACGAAGAGCAAATTAGGAGTTCATTTAGCAGTTACAACCTAACAACTGGGTTAGGTTTTTCCAAATTACATCCCATACCACAGATGAAAGTTAAGCATGTCTTCTATTTAATTTTATAATTTGCTTCATTTTATGCGCCTCTAGGAGTTTGCCAGGTACATTATTACCTCATTTCCTCTGAAAGTTTATTTTAAAGACAACTTTCATAAAAATTTGCACATTACTGAAGACAAAGCAGGAATTCTACTCATTCATTTCTGGCACAAAGGGAAGGATTTTGCCTGGGGATGAAGAGTAGGGGACAAAGGTTGTATTTTCGCTGGGTTGGATTTTCTTTGTTTAATTATCAATCAGGGATTCTTAAATGGTCGCTGAGACATTGCCAGCTCTCCAGAGAGTGGTCACCTTGGATGGTTTATTTCAAATAAAGAGCCATCTCACCTCCAAACTAAACTGTCTATGTAACAGCCATGGTCCTCTGAGCAGTTTTTGCATCACTCACCTGTAATCTCATCCCCACTTCCCTGCTGTGTGGCTGCCCAGAGGACGAGAACAGAAATGAGAGTGATCCCAGCCATTGCAGTGCCCATCCTGGATAAATCCTTCTTGTGGCTTTGTTTCCAAGGTGGTAGAGCCTGACTGTCCTTACACGTAAGGCTTTTGGATTAGGGAAAAAGGTGCTCTGTTCTCTTCCCTTTTGCAGGTGGGTGATAACTCCTGGCAACAGAAACAAAGAGCATCCAGGGGGAATTTTGCTGGTTCTCTCTCCTTCACACTCTCCCCAAGGAACCTGCCTCTTCTGCCTGTTCAGCTTGGCTCCCCCTCAGCCTGGCTTTGAGAAAAAGGCATTTCAAAACTGCTGGTTTAGTCCATGTTTATCCTTCAGAGCACTTATTCCTTCTCACACCTTGGACGACCAACAGGACTGACATACCTC